TAGTTCGCATACAAAGATACAGACGAACATAAATATATTACCTTGGCTATTCAAACCGATCAAGAATATATATATTTAACATTATGGGCCCGACAATGTCTTCTAACACAAGACAAAATAACAATACCCCCTAGAAACGTGTACAGATTTAATAAGCTAATAAGTTGTTGTGTAAAAGTTAAAGTTTTTCATATAAGATCTTGATAATCGTTCCTATGACAACTATAAGAAAAAGTATTTCGATTCACCTGATTCTAATATATGTATTGCCTGCAACCGAAAGGCGAATCTAGACAGAGTTTAAGACTAGTTTGCATAGAAAGATACAGACGAGCATGACCATATTGACTCGTCTAAATGATACGGATCAAGAATATATGTTTTCCTTTACATCTCCAAATCACAATACCCTTTAGAAGCGTATACAAACTGTATAAGCTAATAAGTTGTTCTGCAGAGGGCATATTTAAAAAACATTTAGCTGCAATCCACACACTTGGCCCAGGTTCCAGCTGCCCGCGCCCAGCTTCCCGCTACCGGGCACATCTCGTGCCCCATGTCGTGCTCGATTACCCCAAATAATTTTTGGTCCGCTGAGAGGTATTTGCTTATGCGTGTTGCTTTTGTTGCTGTTGTTTTGGTTGTTGGCTTTTGGCGCTTTGGTGTAAACAGTTTGTTTACCCGCAACGCTGATTATTTCCAATTAAGTGAAAATTTTATTATAAACAAACTCATTTAAATATTTTCAACGTGCGTTTTCATTGAAAATAATTTACTCAAGCATTTTTGTGAAACGTTCTTGGTTTTTTTTTTTTTTGAAAATTGTGTTTTAATATTTTTCTTATGATTAGGGAAATGCGTAAATTGTATTGCAAAATATGTACATATTTATAATTTTGTACCGGCGGATATAAGCTTATGCAGGAGGATGTTCGATGCTGAGTTGTAAAAACAAATAAAGTTTGGTTTTGGGGTTAAGGCATTTCCTGAAGCACGGACATTTGAAGAACACAATAATAAATATGCTAAGCAGGCCAATAAAAATGACTATTGGAGATCTGATAAAATTATATTTAAATAAATTGCTTAAAGAATTTTTGATATTATATTTTATTTATATGATTGCAAAAAAGGTCAAATCAGACTGGAGCAAATTATATATCCAAGTGAAAATAAATAGTTTTTTCTAATCTCGAATACAACGATTCTGTTCTTAAATCGATAACAACAACATTTCCTTCGCTGGCAGCAGCAGTAACAACAATATCACCAGCATCACCTTTCTACGCGATTCTCACATTATTTACTTTTCATAGAGCTATACGAAGTTCATTATTTTATAAGGACAAGGAACAGACTAGAGCAAATTATATCTCCAAGCGATTGTCTTTCTATGCGATTCTCACATTACTTTAGATTTCATAGATCTATACTCAGTGATATTTTATTTTATGTGTACGAATACGAAAAAGGGTAAATCAGATTGGGGCAAATAACATATCTAAGTGAAGCTCTCACAACTTATAGATTGTTTTATTTTATGTCTGGAATACAACGATTCTGTTTTTTAATCGATAGCAACAACATTTCCAACGCTGGCAACAAACGCACTAATGCGTTTTCATCAGCAGCAGCAGCAACATCATCACCAGCAGCAGCAGCAACAGCAACATCTTCACCCACAGCACCAACACCAACACCAACAGCAACAACATAAGGCAGCAACATTGCTGCATAGCTCAACATCGACGGCTGCGCTGCAGGCGCCGCTGAACAGCCTAAAGACGCTGCAGTTAACGCAACAGCAACGTTTTCTGGCCAAGACGGCGCAGCAGCAATTGTTGGACATGCCCAGCACAGCAACAGGTGCTGCAAGCACAATGCAAAATGGCGCTCACAGCAGCAACAGCAGCAGCAATAGCAACAACAACAACAGCAGCAGCAGCAACGGCAGCAGCAATCACAACAATGTCAACGGCGGCGGCGGCGGCAACAACAACAACAACAATGGCAAACGCAAGCGTTCCTGGTCACGTGCCGTCTTCACAAATCTGCAGCGAAAAGGACTCGAGATACAATTCCAGCAACAGAAATACATAACAAAACCAGATCGACGCAAATTGGCCGCACGACTGAATCTGACAGATGCACAGGTGAGTTGCGGCCAGTGTTGCCAACTGCCGCTGCAAAAAAGTAGCCGAATTCAATAGCAACTATAGCTTTAAAAAAGCTGAATTAGGTTTCTGATAGCTAAAAGAAGCTAAAATAGCTGAATTCAATGTTCAAAATAGCTTAAAATAGCTGAATTAGGTCTCTGATAGCTAAAATAGCCAAATCCAATGTGAAATGCAGCTTAAAATGGCTGAATTTGGTTTCTGATATATGAAATAGATTAATCTAATTTCAAATATAGCTGAATCAAAAGTACAAAACAGCTAAAACTAGAAGAATTGTGTTTCTGATAGTTGAAATAGGCTTAATTTCCAGCTGACGAGCAAAATTCAGCTATAAATTAGTTACTCAGATATCCAAACTCAGTGAAATTTCTCGATTTGCAGGTCAAGGTGTGGTTCCAGAATCGACGCATGAAATGGCGACACACGCGCGAGAATCTCAAGAGCGGTCATGAGAAGCAGCCGCCACAGCAGATGGGCGCCGGCAGCAGCAGCACGTCCAAGACAATGATAGTCGCGTCTGGTGCGGGCGCCGCTCGATCCCATGAAGTGTTGGACTACAGCTCCGACAGCTGTTCCAGTGTGGAGCTCAGCGAACGAGCCGACGACGACGACGATAACATAGAAATCGATGTAGTCGAGTAGGCGAGTCAAATCGTTTATTGATTAGTTATATAGTTTGTTGTTCACGATCAAATTTAGATTTAAAATAAAATATATAGACGTCTATTTTTGTGAAGAGTCATTTAGCAGCGTATTTAATTTATATAGAGCACGAATTTAATTTATTGAAAACTTAAAATTAAGCGTTTTAAAAATTATATTTAATGAATAATAAATGTTATATGTACAACAATTTGTTATTGCCAATATTTTTAGCTGCTCGCGAGGAAGGTGAATCGACTAAGAAATTGATTGTTTCAGTATTTTTTTTACATTAGTAAGATTTTTATATTTTTATTCCTACTTATCTGCCTATCAAAGCTATGAAGATAGTTTAACTGCCGGCTAAAAATTACAGTAGAAGTTAAAGAGCAGAATTGACAAGGACAGCAATTGACATTAAAATTTTGTGAGAGGATAATAAATTAAACGCAATTTACCGCCATTTACCTGGAATGAACTGTAACTGAAGCAAAGATACGAACCAGCTCTGAAGTCAACCGGTTCTCAATTGGAACTTAATTTTAACCGTTCGTCGAGCTTAATACAGCTGATATAGAAGCAAAACCGAGCTTTAAACTAAAATTGACACGCTTTTATTTCCTGAAGAAATTATATTGCACAAAATTCAGTACTTTCCCCTATTTAGAAAAAATCTATCTGAATCTGGAATGAACCGTAACTGAACATAAATGTTACCGTTTGTCGAGCTTAGGACAGCAAAAATTCAAGCAAAACCGAACCATATTTCACGAACAAAATAAATTTTTGCTAAAAAAAAAATGTTTCTAACAAGTTTCCCATTAAAAGAATACCTAACTATTAAAAGCTGAAACTGAAATAAACTGTAACTGAAGCAAAGACGTTTTTACCCAACCGGGTTTTAAAAGGAACTTTATTTATTTTTACCGTTAGGCGTTATTTTTTCTTGTATTATGCGAAATATTTTGCCAGTAATTTCCACTATTTAAAAACAGTTTTTAATAATAATTAGATGAATTCCACCTTTTCTTGCCCTGCTTAGAAGAACAGAAAAATAAGCTGAGCGTGCTTTCCTTTTAATCAAAATTAATGAACACCCAACCCAATAATTGAACAATTGTAAAACGTGGCTGTTTTTATTGTTTCACTTTTGATTGGCATAAACTATATGAGTGCTATATAAAATAATTATAATTTCGGTTCAAACAAACAAATTAATTGATCCAGCTACACGCTATCAAGGCACAGTTCTATAGTAGTTTAAGCTAATGATCAGCAATAATCCATAATTCAAATGATCTGACCAAGTACAATACATACTTTTAAGCAAACACATTCGTGCACTAATTGATAATAATCCATTATATTTAAAAATTCTCTTAGCACTCTCTCTTTGCACTCTTACTACGCTCATGGAATAAACAACAAGAACGCGCAATGCCATTTTCTTATAATTTTTTATTTTCTTTCTTTTTCTTTGGCTACACATAAACAACCGAAAATTTAATTAAAGCTATACCGCTGTGATCAGCAGAACTCGAAACTGCGACGAGGCCTTCTAATCTAGACAATGATAAAACCCGATACCGACGACGAACAGTTGGTCAAGCGCGGGGGCATCAGCCGGAGCGGAGCCAGAGAGACAATTAGGCAAACAGTGAGCGCAAATTATTGACGCACGACATTGAAAATTTACTTCAATTCGTAATAATATTATTGTTATACACTAACAAATGGGTATTATCGATTTATAAGTGTGTTTGTAATGCAAATATAAACAATAACAACAAGAGATGGATGAGAAGTCATTTAGGGGATATTTTTAAAACAATAACAAATTTGTAATTTAAAAAATAAATCTTTTTTATAAAACAAACTACAGTTGAGAGCAGATAAACCTTTTCAAAAAATTATGATTGTTTAAATCGAAAAATTATAAAAATATATATATATTAATGATATTTAGTTAAACCTTTTTAAAAATGGTCATTCAAACTTTAGAATTATGAAAAGTATATATTCAAAAATGAAACACATAAGAAAATATTAAAACGTTTAAAAATTTTCTTAAAACTGCAATTTGTAAAATGGCTTCAATATCTAAAACTGAATATTAGGAATTTTCAATTTTAAAAATAACAAAATATAAGACAGCTAAAAATCAGTAAGGGTATTCAATTAGCGACTTGTCCAGCTTTGGGTTTTTTTAGTGGTGTTTTTCTAGAGTTTCGTTTGTTCAGTTTGTTGAGGCTAAGCGTTGTGAGCGGTTGGAAATTCATTTACTGAACGCGCGGCAATGTGACGGCTTAATTATATTGCCATAAGCGTTATAGACGAACGCAGTCGCAGCTGAGAACTACGTCGAAATTGCCGGGCAACATGGGCAATGTGCAAACGCGTCAGCTGGAGTCGCGCAATGCGACAAATAGACGCAGCAGTAAGTGATATAAGCGTTAGAAAAGTTGTTCTTATAGAAAGTCAGAGATATTGCCACACTCTCTCTCTCTCTCTCTTACTAGGCATACTGTGGAACTTTCGGTATCCCCAGGCCGCCAGGCGACGCGACGATGTCGCAATGATCATACACAACTCCAGGCTGAGCATTAGCGAGTGGCTAAATCTGCTGGAGCTGCAGCAATATGAAGGTCAGTTTGTTCAGCAGTTTTTAGCGAATGCAAATTGCACAATAACTCACGTGTCACATCCGCTCAAGCAGGCAATCTAAAAATGTACGCCACAGTCGATGATGTCGGCGACATAACCGATAGAGACCTGAAGCGCTTGGGCATACGCAGCATGTCGCATCGCCAGAAAATGCTCAACAGTCTGCTGGGCGTGCGGGCCAAGCGTAGGCAGTCCATGAATCTGGAAGGTGAGCGTAGCTGATAATCCTCGAGCGAAACTAATCAAGCTAATCTGAACCAGCGCTGAGAAGTGCGCCCTGTGCGGTGCCGCGTCGCAAGAGCTCCTGCCCGATGGTTTATCTAGATGCTGATAATATGGCTGGCAGTAATGATAGCGGTGGAGCAGCTGTGATTACCACCAAAAGTGGCAAGGTCTTAAAACAATTGACATTCGATGAGACAACAACAATGTGAGTACAGGCCAGAGAATCGACTAGATAAGACACAAATTATGCGCAAATTTATGGTAAAAGCCATATTTAAAAGAAGTGAGTATTATGCTGGGAAACTTGAGTTCAGTTCTCTAAGAGATCTTATCATTTCCTACTCAGTTTAACCCATTTTTCTTATTGTTTGTTGGTTAATGATACTCCATATTTTACGTTAGCACATGCTTGATCCTTAAACATTTACTAACTGTGCACTAATATTTCCTTTTTAGTTTTCGGATTAAAATTACAGAATTAGCAGTTTTCCCAGTTGATTTAGCGTAAAGAAGATTTCTGAGTGCACAGTTCTTATATTCATAATTTAATTAATATTAAGAAGTTTTCTTGGCTTAACTAAATTTTAAATAGTTTTTCTTTTCGAAATGGCCTGTCATAGAAAATGTTGCTTCCCTTTAAAAAAAAATTGGTTGAAGTCTTGATTTTGGCCGACAACATTTTGTAGCTTACGTTCATTTGAAATGTAACGAATTCTTAAACAAGTTCCACTACAATAGCATTCACATTCAATTTCTGACATTCACAATGCGCTGCCTTCCCGCATGTGCCTATTCCTTACCTAAAAACAACCACTTCTCCAGCCCCCCCTGCAAAAAAATAATATATTTCAATAACAAAAACTCTGCGCATGCCCCAAAGAATTTCCCATAAAAAATAATAAACCTTATGACGGTTAAGTCAGGCGGCATAAAAATCTTAAAAACAAAACACAAAACATTCGGTTAAAGCGAACAACCCTCACAAGGACATTCGACTTGTGCCAGGGTGGGCTTTAGCCTGGACAGAACGCAGAGCGAATTTAGATGGCAAAGAGTGCAGACGAGGACTGCGATAAGAAAAGCCAAAGCACAGTAAGCGATAAGACTAAACAAAATTACAAGTTTTTAGCTGCAACAAAAATATAACAATAATAAAAAATTGCTAACCAAAAATAACATACTAGTTATTTTGTATGTAAAGCCAAGCTTTGTGTAAACAAAAAGAAAACTGTTTAAGGCGTGTCCTGCGTAGATATTCTGTAATGAAAAATTGTCCTAACCAAATGGGCGTAGCAGGTGAGTGATAACAGTTTGTAAATTAAATAAATACAATTTATTTAAAACCAACATTTGAGAAAATTAGAATAAATCTAATTGCAGTCAGAAATGTTTGTAAATGTTTTTGAAAATTGTACTATCAATAGATAAGTGCATTTTTTTTTGCACTTGAACTTCAGACAAAAGTTCGCATATACCAAGGAACAATCCTGTGCGAGCGAATTTCCCTTTTCAATAAAAGCCCGACCGTGGGGGCAATGAACAGAGCACACAACATAAATTACCCATAATAAGGGAAATTTATATACTTGCACTCGCCCACCTACTCTCCCTTACTCTCTCACGCTCTCTCTCTCTCTCTCTCTCTTTGCAGCTATGAGGAATTGAGACCGCGCTCCAAGTGCAACAGCCCGCATTGGGACAACAACGCCGACGATATGGAAAGCGGCAACAACAGCAACGTGTCCACACCCATTGCCGCCTCGCCCAATCCAAACGAGCAACAGGAGGCCATTGCGCTGAAAAAGGCCCTCGAATGGGAACTAAGTCTAGATGCACGGGAATTGCGCTCGCATGCCTGGTACCACGGTGCCCTGCCACGTCAGCGTGCCGAGGAGATTGTTCAGCGAGAGGGCGATTTTCTGGTGCGGGACTGCGCCTCCCAGCCGGATAACTATGTGCTCACCTGCCGCAGCAAATCAGCTGTGTTGCATTTTGTGCTTAATAAGGTAGGTCGGAAAACAAGGGACTTTTCGTAAGATCAGTTTAGTAGAGAATCTTTTAAAAAAGCCCCAACAAAAAACCCCACATATCAAAAAACAATCCAATAGTAACAATTAAATCTTAAAGATTCTGGCATTTGTGTTAATAAAAGAGTTAACTGAGATAAGATTTATCTAGGCAAATATTTTAATAATATCCCATTTTTTAAGCATTAACAGTATTTAGACACTTACCTGTTTTTTCCCATTTTCCTTGCAGCTGGTGCTACAGCCTGAGACTGTCTACGAGCGCGTGCAGTATCAGTTCGAGGAGGATGCCTTTGACACGGTGCCGGATCTAATCACATTTTATGTGGGCTCTGGCAAGCCCATTTCAGCTGCCTCGGGTGCTCTGATACAGTATCCATGCAATCGCACATATCCACTCTCCTTCTATGGCCACAAGATCGTGGGCAATCAGCTTCACACACAAATGCTGGCCGGACTGCGTGGCCTGAGTCCACTGAGCTCGCCCATGGGCAGCAGCAGTGCAGGTGGCTCCGCCATCTTTCGCTTTGGCCAACTAGCTGGCGATGTTCCAGCACAACAGCAGGCGGCGGCGGCGACGGCAGGGACGCCAGCCAGTCCGCACTGCTCGCCGCCTCGGGTGCGCCGGGAGGTGCCGCCGCCCAGGCTGCCCTGCAAGAAGCAGCAACGCTCACAGAGCTTGACACCCGCCCAGGCCATGGTTGTGTGCAACATCAACAAGCAGCAGGAGCAGCAACAGCAGCAGCAGCTCGCCGCAGCAGAGGCAACCAACGGACACGGGCTGGCGCGATTTCAGACCATTGCACGCTGTAATCCCACCATTGATATGCAGTTGCAGTCGCAACAGCTGGAGCACAAGTTTAGCACACAATCTTTGCCGCGTCCTAGTACTTCGGCGGCGCAGGCGCTGCGCCAGCAGGCAGCGGCGCGCATTTGCAACTTGGCGCGCAATTTCAGCCTGGACACGCCGGATCGCGCGCCAAGTCCGCCGCCCAAGCCACGCAAGGAGCCGATGGCCGCAGTTTTGGCATATCAGGCCAGCGGCTCGGATTCGGGTAACGGCTCAGGCGACTCGGCGCCAGGCGATGTCAGCGAACTGAGCATACAACGTGGCGGCGTCATTATCAAAAATCCTCGATACATGAGCAGTTCCGCATCCAATGGCACGCTCAAGAGCTTTACTGAATTCGATGCTTTGGCTGCCGAGGAGCAGCTCTTCACGCTGCCCATTGAGGAGTTTAAGCTGGTGAGAATTCAATGTTCCTTATTTTCATAAAATAGCAATAAGAATTTCACACACACACACACTCGCGCACAAATAATTTAATTTTCTAAAACACAACCGATTGATGTACGCGCCATTTAAAAAGTTACGGTTGTTTTGCCAAAGTGTGGCCGTTTTTTTAAAGCCAACATACATTGTGAATTATTGCCAACTTACGCGCATTAATTTGACTATACATATGTACCTATGCAGCGTAATTCTGCTGAACCGAAAGAAACAGTCGACGAAATTTGTTTTGCTTCTCTGGATTTTTTCTCTTTGTTGCGGAATTAATTGATAACAATCATTTATTTGGTTTGTCACTTAACTTTTTATAAAGCTACAGTTGCTTTGGCAATGTGTGTGCCCAAATAATATTTATGTGCAAAATATCAAAATATGTTTTTGCATCCAGGTGGCAAGGTACGCGCAATAATTCAAGTTTTATGGGCAACAAAATTTTGATATTAATTTCGATTATATGTTTGCTTATACAAATAATTTTAAGAAACGACTATTTGATTTAGTAATTTTCGTTTCCTTTTCGCATTTCAGAGCAGCAAATTTGATTTTGAGAACTTTAGTACGTTGCTGCTGCCATCGGTGGAGAACAAGCCGCTGGATGGGGATGCACTGAACACGTTCAAGATGATGCTGCTGGAAACGGGTCCCAAGCTGCTGGCCGAGCATATAACACGCATCGACATTGGATTATTTCTGGACGAGCCTACAAATGAGTCGGACTGTTACTTAAGCTGTTCAGGCCTGGAGCTACTGACTCTGCCACATGGCAAAGTTTTTCGCGAGGATCTTATCGAGCGAACGCAGTGCATCAAGCTAATGGTTGCCGTGACTATACTCACCTGTCAAACGGATTTGGATCGCGCCGAGCTGCTGAGCAAATGGATACAAATTGCGGTAGAAACGAAAACAGCGCTGGGAAATCTTTTCGGTTTTTGCGCTATTATGTTGGGCTTGTGCATGCAACAGGTGGGTTGGCTAGAGCCTCGAAATGACAATGGAATTCTAATGTCTGCATAAATTTCAATTTTTCAGATACAAAAACTCGACCAGGCCTGGCATATTCTGCGCCAAAAATATACGGACAGTGCTTTTACATTTGAGGCCAAGCTGCGCCCCACTCTAAGCAGCATGAATGAGGCCTCCAATCCGCAGGCGCCAAACACAACTGTGCCCCATGTGCTGCTCTATGCCCTGCTAATTGATAGGCCCGTGCTGGATATTATCAATCATGGCAATGTGGATGAGCGTCCTGCGCTTTATAATACCTGCATTGCGCCTTGGGAATCCAAGGCAGACGATTTTGGCATGTCCATCAATTTTCAGCATTTGGATGCATCGCGCGGTTTTCTCAAGAACTTGGATCTGTATCGTAAGAATGCCAAGATTATTATGGAAGAGGCGAGCACCAGATTGGATGAACTGCTAGCGGATGCTTTTCGGTAAGTCATCCTGCAACTTGGTCTATTTAGTTTAAAGCATGTTTCTCGTTGGCTTTCAGCACCGAATTTCACGTCAAGTTCCTGTGGGGCAGTTCGGGGGCTACCGCTAAGCCCGAGGATCGGCATGGAAAGCTAGAGAAGGTGCTAACACTGATGGCCGATAAATTTTGCAGCGTCAGCACCTAATTAAAAAAACTTTAAAACAACGATATAATATGGACTCTAGTTTGTAAGCTGATGAATACTTAACACAATCAAAAACTTAAACTTCTAAGTCCTTGTACTAGTCCTTTAGTCCTTCTATATCCCAGCTCTCCCGCAGTTTCGCTCTAACCCTCTGTAATTTCGTGCTGTTTCTACCTCAGCCTTTGTGTGTATAATTTTATACAAAAGCAAAATAGAAGCACTTTTGTTACAGTTCAAATAATTTATAAAAATAACAAAATGAAAACATATTTAAAATTTAGTTAAGCCAAGGAAACTACTTAGTATTGTTAAAACACTCCTTAAATTAACAATTACAATTTCAAGCTGGACGTAATCAAAATGTATTTACAACTAAATATAGTCATATGTTGATTCTCTGAGAGAGTTGGCATTATCCAATATATATTGAAGCACACTACCAAAGGCATTTATAGTCTAGTACTTAACACATATATTCAACTAAATAAAGTATTATACATACTATAGACTCGACAATATACAGTTAATCAAACGCATCATTGTACGTGCATAAACACATATATTTAAACAAGTGTAAACCATTTACTGATGATATAATATAATTTTTTGCAATTTTATAAGTGATAGTGCGGTAAACTACAATAAAGAAAATAAAGGAAACATTTAAACCACTTCGAAATACATAATCACGAGTGCCCTTCCACAAGAGTCATGTATAAAGGCAAGGGTAAAACAATCTGAATATAAGTAGAATTATTGACAGTGTAAATAGGATAAGGGCAAGGGAAAGGTCACATCAACTGCAAACAAGTCGGGTTAAATTCAAACAAAATGAGAGAAATCTATTAAACAAGCCCTTATTTTGATTCTTAAGATTCGAAACTTCCATAAGAAAATGCAATGATCTTTAATCAGGATCAGCTAGTTAGGATAAAAAGTAAAATGTTGAAAAACGATTCGAATAGAGAAAGACTTAAATTTGTTTAATATTAAACAAGAAATGTATGAAGAGTGAAGTAATTCGAAGCAAAATATTAAATGTTATTGGGCTATTAGGAATTATCGATTAGATGTTTTTAAATCAGTATAGATATGCTTATTTGCAGCTACTTCAACTAATACTGAAATAACGATAATGAGACCCCACTTGTGGAAGAAAAATGTGATTGTTCGAAAACAATTACGATGTGCATTCAACTTAAGCCCGACATTAGCTTTATCAGGCACTCCAGGCGAACTTATCAAAATACATAAGAATATAAATACTATTTATGTATTCATAAAGTGGCCGATCAAAGTGCCAGCCAGCAACCCGAACCCGAAACCGAAACCCCCTGACATTGTGCGCCACGCAGAGCTGTGAAGCGGTCGTTATTAAAAACTTGCTGTTGCAGAAAAAAGCTAACTTTACAGTCGAGCTTAGAGCTTACGGCGTAAGTCGAGATCGAGCTTTAAAGCCCAGCATTTAACATGAGTGTCAACGGCGGCCCGCGCGGCGGCAAATTGCGCTGCACACGCAAGCGAACATTGGCCATGATCGGCGGTGTTTTAATTTTGATAATCGCTCTGACTGTCGGCCTGTGCGTGGGGCTCAGCGGGGATAGGAGCGGTGTCAGCGAGGTGAGCTTTTCGAGTGAAATTTTGTGAGGTCAACCGAATTTGCATTGGATTATTACCACCAACAGGACGTGCCCGTCTTTAGCATTGATCACCAGGCAAATACATTTATATTAAATGGACAACCATTTCGTTATGTCTCCGGATCGTTTCACTATTTTCGGGCTCTGCCCGATGCTTGGCGAAATCGTTTGCGCACCATGCGAGCGGCTGGTCTAAATGCATTGGATACGTGAGTAGTACTAATGGTTTCTTTTTGGCGGACGTGACTGTAGTAGAATGTGAACGTAGGTCGTAGGACGTGACTGTAGTAGGACGTGGGACGAAACTGTAGGTGGACGTAGGACGTGACTGTTGCTTGCTGTGAAAGCCAAAGTCCAAAGCTTGGAAATTATGAATCAAAATAATGAATAACTCTGATAACTGTGCCTCCAACAAACTGACGATAAACAACAACAAAAATTAAAGTAATTTAAGAAATTGACAATTTAGTATTGTTTTGCTAGATCGGATATGCAGAGGGCAAACTTTAAAGACGCGCAATAAAAAATGTTGATGGGCCTCAAATTAGCTTCGTTTAAAAAGAAACTAAATTGAAATGTTAAATTTTCTTCCAAGCGTCTAATTTACACTTTATAAACAAACAAATAACTGATTTGTTTAATATTTAAAACTGTATAAACGACTTGCAAATAGTTCATAGTTGAATTACTATAAATTTATGGGACGAGATTCTGACAAATATATATTTATAATTTCAAGACTCCAGGCGTACATTCATCAACATAGCTCGTCGCTCCGATTAAGAATGTATACTAGTATATTCCGACTTTCTGTACAATCATTCGCCTCTCGAACGCTTTTCTTGGTATACAAATATTTCTATAAATTATAGGCTATAATATTCCGATCATAATTTTTAGGTGTTAAAAATATATGGGAAATATGCCAAATGTTTATATGAGCATATATCTATATATTTATATTTTATATATTATATTTATACCACCTAAATATAATACTCGATGTACGGATAGATGCTTAGTTAAAGTATGTCAAATGATTCGATTACAGAAACATATGGAATAATGAATGTGGCTAAATTATATTAAGGTCTCAGACAAGCAAATTTGTAGTCCGTGTGTCTTAAATTAATATCCCCTTCCCAGCTACGTTGAGTGGTCCCTGCACAATCCACACGATGGCGAATACAACTGGGAGGGCATAGCCGATGTGGTTAAGTTTCTGGAAATAGCCCAAGAGGAGGACTTCTATATTATACTACGACCCGGACCGTATATCTGCGCCGAGCGAGATAACGTAAGTGGCATTCAGCACGATAATAAAATGATTAACCCAGCCCCTTTGAAACAAACCCGTACAGGGAGGCCTACCCCACTGGCTGTTTACCAAATATCCGGATATTAAAGTGCGCACAAACGATCCCAACTATACAGCGGAGGTGGGCAAATGGTATGAACAGCTTATGCCACGTCTGAAGCATTTGTTTATCGGCAACGGTGGCAAGATCATTATGGTACAGGTTGAGAATGAATACGGTGCGTTCAACGCCTGCGATCATGACTATTTGAACTGGTTGCGCGATGAGACCGATAAATATGTGGAAAACAAGGCGTTAATGTTCACCGTGGATATACCCAATGAACGGATGCACTGCGGCAAGATTGACAATGTATTTGCTACCACGGACTTTGGCATCGATCGCGGTGAGTGAAAAAATAAATAAATAAATATATACCCAAAGGAGTATAGAGGAGCAGAGACGCACCTTTAAATCTTGACTTTGACTGCTTTATTCCATCTGTGTGACATCTTCCATTTGCTAGTCTACGAGATCGACAATATTTGGAAATTGCTGCGCGGTGTACAGCCCACAGGACCGCTGGTCAACTCGGAGTTCTATCCTGGCTGGCTGACCCATTGGCAAGAGACGAATCAGCGACGCGACGGTCAGGAGGTGGCCAGCGCCTTGAAGTACCTTTAAAGAAACTTTTTTATAATATTTAATTGTGCAATAACAATTGTTCCACTTACCACATTTAGGACCATACTCAGCTACAATGCCAGCGTTAATCTGTACATGTTCTTTGGCGGCACAAATTTTGGTTTTACGGCCGGCGCCAATTATGATCTGGATGGCAGCTTTGGCTATACGGCGGATATAACCAGCTATGACTACGATGCCGTGATGGATGAGGCGGGCGGTGTGACCCAGAAATATGAGCTGGTCAAGCAGGTGATAGGCGAAGTGCTTGAACTGCCCGACATAAATCTGAATCCAGCCAAGCGTTTGGCCTATGGCAAAGTGGAGCTGACGCCCGCCTTGGAGCTGCTGTCGGCAGAGGGACGTGCCGCCCTGTCCAAGGGCACACCGGTGACATCTGATAAGCCCAAATCATTTGAGGAACTGGATCAGTATTCAGGCCTGCTGCTCTATGAGACAACGCTGCCCAGCTTCGATCTGGATCCAACGCTGCTGCAGGTGAACGACCTGCGCGATCGTGCTCATGTCTTTGTGGACCAGCAGCTGGTGGGCACGCTGTCGAGGGAGGCGCGCATCTATTCGCTGCCACTGAGCAAAGGCTGGGGCAGCACACTGCAGCTGCTCGTCGAGAACCAGGGACGCGTCAACTATGATCGCGCCAATGATACCAAAGGCATTTTTGGCCAGGTAACGCTGCAGCTGCACAATGGCGGTGCTCTGCCGCTGGACAACTGGACAACCACTGGCTATCCACTGGAGGCGTACACCGTAGAGGCATGGCGCCAGAAGCAAACAGAGATGAACGCTGCCCTGGAGCCGACCATTGCCCAGCAGCGTTTGCTACGCTCTGGACCCATTCTCTATACGGGCAGCTTTCAGGTATCCGAGGTGGGCGACACCTATCTGAATGTCGCTGGCTGGGGCAAGGGTGTGGCCTATGTGAACGGCTTCAATTTGGGACGCTACTGGCCACTGGCCGGGCCACAGATAACGCTCTACGTGCCCAACGAGCTGCTGAAAGTGGGCCAAAACTCTTTGGTGCTGCTCGAGTATCAACGTTGCAATAAAACCGTCAACGGTGCGGAGCTGCCGGCCGTGCAGTTCGATGCAGTTGCTCAGCTGGACGGTGAGTCCAGTGAGGCGCAAAAGTAGACTCCAGACGTTGTATTTTTTATTATAATTTACAAGCGTTTCTTTATTTGTTTTATTAGAAGCAGTTATTGATTGACCACAACAACCTTGTCAAGCCTTTTATAGTATATATAATATTTGCTAATCTTAGCTGTTATTATTATAATAAACATTGCTTAATTAATTACATTTTCCTTAATTTCTTTCACTGACTGGCATTTTGTTAATCGTAATTTAGCTCGTTATCAATTGACTCTTACGGTATTCGGTAGCGTTTACAAAACTTGAGAAATTTCTCGACTTTTTTTAATGTTTATTAAATTTAAATTTGCTTTTGCAAAATTTAAGTTTTTCCTTGTGCTTTTGCTTTTCTTAAGTTCTTGAAATATTGTGTTCATTGGCAAATGGAGATTATCCAGTAAAAAATACTTTGTCTTGAGGGATTTTACCGTGTTCAGTTAATATCAATAAATTTGAAGAGTATTGAGTATATTTAATGTTTGGAGATTCTCAAAAATATTTCAAAAATGCTAGAGACTCATTTTGGTGTTCAAATGTAAATTCGTCGAAATACAAATAGAGGGTTTTCATACAAAAATATTATATTAAAATTGGTTTCTTTTCTAGGGCAGTGTTCAAATGGGAGGACAAATAAAACGAATATCAACAAATTCTAATACATACAATAGAATATAACTCAGATGCCTATACGTTATTGTTTTTCACCTATTTCTGAGCTAATTTACAGTTCAAGCAATTGTTCTCCTTGGATTTGTTAATCTAAATGTGTTACAAACCATTTAAATACGCTCTTACAGACGCATATCTCGGTCGTATTATAAATATTTTGTTCGATGTTAACGAACTGCCGTGGAAACTTGTTTACAAACATTCTTTCATTTTGTGCAAAAGTTGTTTCGACTAATTCGCGAGCAGTCTTATTTTGAAAAACTCATAACGAACACAAGTCACGTGCTTAGTAGCTCTTATGCAATAATACAAGTTATTTAAATTTGCAGCACAGTGCAAATAAGGAAATACATTAGCGGAAAAATAAATCTATTATGCAAAAATATATATATATATGTATATATATGTTATATACTAATTATTATATTTTAATATATTTGCAAGCTCGTCAAAAATCTAATTAGCAAACTACTTTGAATTTTTTTTTAATTTTAATTTTTTTCTATATGTTTCATGTGCCCCCACGCAAAAATTTCTGGTTTTTGTTCATTAGTGTTATAAAAATACTTTTGTTTTTTAGGTTTCATAGTGATAGATTTTGCTGCTTACATAAGAAATTACATAACGTGCTCTAAATACCCTTACAGACGAATTTTTGACTTCAAACTAAGCTTTATAAATTTATCTACACCTTCTTTTTTAAGCCTAGATAACAAAAAAAGCGAGAGCTTATTTTATTTCATGTTAATACAAAAATTCAGTTTTGTTCGTTTTTTCTGCTAAAGCCTAAAGCACGCTCTGTTAGGGTATTTAAGCTTCGGTGTGCCGAAGGGGTTTTAGTGCGGCAAGTTTTCTTTGCAATTGAAATATATAAAAATGTTTCTTTTTGTTTTTTTTTTCGTCTCGTTTCTATACATTTACTAAAAATATATCACAGCTGCATTTCGAGTTAATTTTTTTTTTTTACTCACGTTCGTCTTTTACGTCTTTTTTATGTAAAAATGTATAGAAAATGTTGGGTAAAACGAAGCCTACGTAAAACAGCAAAAAATTTGGCAACCTAGTTAATAGTTTAGTCAATGTCCATAGAGACGGAATGCGTTTGCGTTTAGTAGACACTCATATATATAGTTAGGTATTTATAGTATAGGTAACTAACCGAAGCGTAGATTTAGATGATGCATTGTGTTGTTATAGTTGTAGTTGTAGCTGTAGTTGTAGCTGTAGTTGTTGAGTTGTTTGTTCAGTTGTTGTAGCTAAAGTTCAATTGCCGCTAATTGTTGTTACTGTGATTGTGTCCTTACCTGTCTAGAGTGCTGTGGGGGCAGCGTGCGCCATTTGTCAGTGCCATTTGGATTTTTGTGTATAGATATCGGCGCGTAGGTTTTGCGCAAAACAAATGCCCAGAATCTGTAAGCATATAAAAGCGTATAAATAAATGCATTCGCTCAAGGTGTAATATCAATAAAAATAAATGAAAACAAACTGAGACCTGGAAAAACATAACACCGATAGCTGCCGTGGAAATGATAATTAAATTATGCTCAATCCATTCTTCGCCAGCCTGGACGCAGCCTTTTTCATAAATAATCTTGGACAGCTCCATGCCCTGTGCCGTGAATAGAAAATCAGAAATCAAATCAGAACACAACGCAAGCAAAACGAATGGCAATAAACTTAACAATAATGATAATTAAAATATATAAATTGAGACATAAGCAAGATAATTTATTGTTGAGCTCTTGCCAGCACCTGCATGATGAGCAGGGCAACACACGAGGCAGCCACGCCTATTAAATTCGTCTCCAGCCAATCCTCTCCAGCGCGCAAGCAACCGCGCTCGTGTATATTTCTATCCACTGGCTGCATGCGTTTATTAAATATTGATTAAGCCTGCAGATCACCAGAGAGAGACCCAACAATAAACTTACATAGCCCTCCTTGCGCACATCGTAGCCGCATTGCTTGTTCTTGATAACCTCCTGCGGTCGCCGGCGACAGCAGGAGAAGGGCACACCACACGCCTCGCGGCTGCCGATTGCGATCGAGGAGCAATTGAAATAGTTATTGCTATCCCAATCCTTGGGCCCATCAATGCCGCAACACTGCAGCCAATCCTCCTGTATCCAATCTATAAGATTCTGCTGATCGGGATCCTCGCGGTAGTGTTTGATGAAAGCTCTCAGGCCCTCGGTGGCCTGATCTTTAATCTATGAAAATACAAATAAAATATATAATTAGTTCCATTAATTGTGAACATATCAATACCAAATGTAATTATATTTCTTTCTAGTCTTATGCATTGGAAATTGGGAGTCTGGAAAATATCCATATTCAGCATCATTGTAACTGCAAACATGTTTTCTTTTAATTGAAATTATGGTGAGTCAGTTTCTTGGATTTCACTTGGCGTCAGTTTCATATGGAACATTTGCTAGGAAAGTTATCAAAAGAGCTCACTTTTCAGTTGTTCCTATGGCAGATATTTAATATGGTTATCCCAGCCAATTATATGAGCCCATTAAATACCTCGCTTGGCCAAGATATCGTGAAAAATAAACAGGTTTCATTCAAGACCTAGACTTTTGACCTATCCGTTCCATATAATCCTATCCGTTCAGCTATAAGATAAAGCCTGATCGTGCCCAATCGACAATTAGTATTAAAGGTTTCTAGGCCAAGTTTTGTGTATATGTAATATGTATGTAGATTTGTTAACCTTCGAATATTTTGAAACTGTTCATATCGTTTGTACTCAAAATTGTATGTCATTTTTAATATAGTCTTTGACTCTATTAAAGTATAAGCAACAGATATAGTCGTGGGTTCACGCTTAAATGAGAATTAAGAGTTGCATGTTTTCCAAGCTAAAAATATTTCTTGACACAATTAGCATACCCTTTGCTCTATAAGGGTATTTAACTACACGTACTTATCATTAAATGCTCGTTATCTGAGTAAAATCCACAGAAGAACTTGTTATTTACAAGGTTTGTTTACATTAGCTGGGCTAAATTTAGCTTTGGCCACCAATTTGTAAGCAGCATACCAATCGTGAGCAATAACAACTTACCCAGCCTTTGTCCTTGAGCACAAACGCCAGCCCGCAAAAGCCAATCTCACTCAGTAGCAGCACGCTTAAGAATATGGCATACTGTTAATAAATAATGCATAAGCTTTACTTATTTATTGAGAGCAAATAATTTATTGTGTTGTACTCACGGCGCCCAAGAGGCAGGTATTTTCGCGCAGTGCACCCACGCTGCCCATAAAGCCCAGCATAAAGGTGATGGTGCCCAATATGATGAGCACAAAAGCGGGATCCAGTGCGATAAACGTGAGCTTGCTGATGTTCCGGAACATATCCTTTTCCATCCAGGCCCAAATGCCAATGGCGAGCACAAGAAGCGCTGTCAGCCAAATAAGTACATTGCTGGTGAAGAGCAAATATTTGAGGCAGCAACTGATTTCACTTGTTTCGCGACGATATTTGCGCACTGCGGGCATTTTGCGAGAGTCGATGGCGGCAACAACAACTCGACTGAATTATTCTAAATGCTACGGAATGATTACGCTTGTATTTTAAACTATTACTAATGACTGGGTTCGTTTTATTTTACTAGAACGAAAAGCTGTGTTTACCAGCCACACAGATTTTCGACTTAGCAATTGTGCGACGGAAACAACAAATAAGAAAACCTGTAGGCTAGTGCGAGAAGTATGATAGTGTAGCCTTTTTGAGTCGTATGTTATTAACACGACACTGTAAACATCAAGCTTTAACGTTGCCTCAGTCTCACTATTAGTGTTGCCACATTGTTATGAATTTGACTGCAACTACTTTATTTCACAGTATTTATGACTATGCTGAACATTTTGCTCCACCAGCTAACATCACTACTCCTCACTTAACAGCATTTTCGCATGCATAACAACACAAATATTCAAGCAGTTAACATATTTTCTTGCTTACTTAACAGAATATACTCCCACATTTAAGCGAGCCTACATATTGACTTTGGTATTTTCTGTATGTATTCTTGCGGCATTACGGTATTTAAATAAGCACAATAGTTAGCCACACTGATTTTCATCGTCGTGTGCAGTTGAAAAGGCAGTAGAGAAGATCAGTACCAAGAAAATAAATATAACAATTAAATACAAATAAAATTTATTAAGTGCTGTGTGCGTGGATCTATGAGATATTTCGGGCAAGTGCACGCATACAAACAGCGTGCTCGGCCCCATTACCTATGACGACAGTGAGTTTAGTTTTCTTCCACTTCTACCCTCTGTGTATGCGTGCGTGTGTGAGTTTCGCTGATGGCTGAAGCTGAAAATGTTTAATTAGCAGGCGAAATATGGACAAAACGCATACATATAATACGCCAAGCCCAAAACGTTGCAACAAATCAAGCGAAACCCTATGAAAAGTCTAAAGTTAATAAGTGCGCCCTGAAAAGACAATTGGAATCAACCCCCCGCGTTTTAATCAAAGAAAAAAACTTGTATGTGTGCGGCTGCTGCTGCGACCACTGCTAGCAGCGCAGTTTACAAAAAAAAAATTATAATAAAAAGTGAAAATATAGTTATGAAGGCAAACCTTTGCTGCAGATTTGATACAATATTTTTCGTGAATTTTCCGTGAATTTATAATAAGCTCACGCAAACAGAGAGGCAGTGGAGCAGCGTTGTAAAGTGCGTTCTCAGCCTTTGGTCGCCATCACAGCAGAGACGTTGCCGTCGACGTCGCTGCCTGCCTCCTGTGCGTGCGTGTGTGTGTCTAGCGCAGTTAATCCCTACAAATATTGTGATCCCACGCTTGAAATATCAATTTCAATTACAGGCCACTTACTAATTATGCAAAGTATATAAATTTGTAAAAGTACAGTGTTGCATTTACACACACAGCCACACACACACATCACAGTATGCTTGAACATATATTATACATACAAACATAAAACATTTCAATGTGCAATATGGTGGACAGTGCGTAAAAATCACAACGTCGACGTCAACGTTTGTTAACTGCTTACTATTTGTAGTAGACATTGTTGTTGTTGCTGCTGCTGTTACTGGGCTTGGTTGGCAACGAAAAACAGTTTTTTGAGCAGTGCTTTCAGATGCAGCTAAGCCAAGTACATTAAATCAATTGCATTTGACAAAGTAAAAAGACTTTTAGTGCTAATTTCGCTAAACATACATACAAATTTATGTATGTATAAAGAAATACTGTTGTGTGCTTCTATACGTATACCTGTGCGCGCTCGTGTGTGTGTGTAAATTTACGTGTGTGTGTTCGGCTGAAAATGGAAATTATATAAAACCCCTTTCTGTGTGCGTGAGGCGCTTTAGATTAAAACAGCATGCGGCTGTTAAGCTTTAATTATTTTCATCAAACTCACACACAGAAAAACTAACGATCAATATGGCAACATAAGTTGTCGAAAATCGTTGGCAACTTCGCAAAGACTTTGTGAAATTCTGATAGTTGGCAAGCGTGCAGCGTTCACATTTTACCAATCAATAATTTTTGCAAACGTCAATTAAAGCAAAAAAAATTGTGGCAAGAAAAAATGAAGGGAAAATAAACATGCAGAGCATACGCACTCACGCACTCCCTATGCCATCTCTCATTTGTACATACACAGAAATACGGTACTCGTTGCTCTCACGCAGAGAGAGTCTGCCTGTCTGTCTGTCGTTCTGATCAAGGAAATGACAAAACTACACAACACTCACACTTTACTCTCGTGCTTGCTTACTCCCTGCTTTTTGCATTGACGTTGTTCTTTTTTTTTTTTTGGGGTGGTGGTGGCAACGTCGCCCCACTTTTGTATGCGAACCTTTTCTATAAGTGTGTGTGTAAACTGTAACAACAACCACCAAAGGCAAAGCTTTTTTGCCCAGCGACTGCTACGGCGGCTTCCTTTTGTCTATTTGGACGCTGGAAAAAAACCTTAACCGGAACTTTAACGTCGCTGCCGGCGTCGATGCCGACACCGACGTTTTTCAATATGGCTTCTTTTACCATTTCAATTTCATCACACAATAAATATAAACATTTTGCATGTGCCCAGTAGTTTCGCCTGGAAAAACATACGCAATTAATGTTGGACGGCAAGAGCTTTTCCAGCAGCAGTAACAGCTAAACCAACGGTTTGAGTGCGTGCGCTGCTAAGAACAAATGGTTTTACAATTTTTCTTACATATGGATATGCGCGTGTATGTACAATCATATATGTACGCATGTAAGTACGTACATATGTATGTATTGAATTGGTAAGTTCTGTTGCTATCGGTCGTTATGTTATACATGCACACTGAATAAGGTGTGTACATACTAACATATGTACATGTATGTATATATATTTATTTTATGTTCGTATGTTTTGCGCTCCACTTTTCTATGCAACAAATTAATTTTTTCCTGTTGCACGATTCCAACATGCGCCACATACACACACAATTTATTTATGAAAACAAAAAAATAAGTGCGAGAATATTAATTGAACTCCTCTTGTTAGTTTTGTCAAAGTATGATGATGTACGGCCTGTGCTTGTGCTTGTGATAGTGTTAGTGTACAAAAGAAAACTAAATAAAATAATATGCCATGTAATGTACATACATTACCAACGCTGCAATTGTGCGCTGCATCTAAACTTAACTCCCACTCGCACAATTGCCTCGCTCATTGCTCACTCACACTCGTTGACTCTCTCTCACGTCACGCCGCCGCAAGCTCAAAAGCCACCCCCATCCCGTCGGCCCCTAGTAAGCATTGGGTGTTCTTTGATCACGTAGAAGCGTTTGCTTGTCATCTGTTTATGTGTATGTGTGTGTGCCATTTTTGCGATTTGCTTGCCACCCGGTAAAACAGTTGGCAACACTGGACAGGTGGTAAGATTTTCCATCTGATGATATGTTTATATATCCATCCGAATACAAACATACGTTATTAAAAGAAAGTTTATCGTAATTTTCGTGAAATTTTATCCACTCATCTACTTGTGTGTCAGAACTTAACGAAACATTGTACCACAAATTCGCATTACAATAGAATATTTGTTTATCGATATTTGTTACTGTGCTAACAGTTTTCTTAAATGTTATTTATTTGTTTAAGACTTCGCGAAAGCTTTGGCCTTCCAGTTTGTTTCTATGCGAACTGGCCACGCGTTCAACATTTAATTTGAATATTGATTTAATTTGGTAGAGGGGGTGGCGGGCTCGGTCTGGTTGCAGTGAAATAATAATGCTAAAAAAAAATTGTTATTTAGCTGCTGAGGCGTCAACAGTCATGACCTTACCTACATGTCATTTTTTACCCTGTATACAAAAAACTTGTTTACTAAATATGTATAATAGAATTATAGTTGTAAAAAGAGTCAACGACTTTGCTAATAAGAAATATATAGATTATACCTGATCCGGGCCATACCTGATCTTTATTCGAATAAAATCTCTACTAATAAACGGCTCACTTGGACGGCCTCCTTCTTCAACCGGTTTATTTTTTTTTTAGTAACCAAAATTTTCCATACTTTTTCCATTGAATTTTTGTTTTTCTGTGGTTTTTCTTATATATTCCAAATATTCCAGGTAAAAAAACTGGAACTAAAGGTGTTTGCTCCAAAAAGTTTTTTCTGTTTTTGTTTGCAACATTTCATAATAATAATGGAAGACATTTTAGATTATCTGGTCAGTGTTTTCTTTTAAAATTTAAAAATATAGTTTTAGCTCTTATATAAGAACTAGTATTATAAAACTATATAAAATGAGGATTATTTATTCATGATCCGATGCATTTTTGTGCTGCTGATTTTTTGTTATCTGTGTCAAGTTGCGTGTGGTCTGGCTATTAAATGTCTTAAATGTTGAGGGTGCAAACATACATTTTGTATTATTGCAATTTTATTTTTATCAATATCAAAACGTACGCTGATAATGTAATCAAGCTTCAGACGAACTAACCCGACTACAAATGCACATGCAGGCAGTGCCAATGCTTGTATGTGTGCGTATGCTTTGTGTGTGTGTGAGTTTGTAGAATAGTCTCCGATTTTAATGCCAGAATGGAACGACACACAACCCCCACGTTTAAACGACAAGAGGCGCTCACACACACACACACACTAATTCTATAAATGCCGTTTACTGTTTTTGTTTACCTACCTGACTGCCAGTACGAGAGGGGTTGTGCGCTTCTGTGTGTGTGTGTGTGTGTGTGTGTGTTTACTCTCTCTCTCTTTCACTTATACTCTTGCAATTACAACTTTTCACTTGCGTTCGTTCATGCGTTTAAACCATATGAAAAAGGTTGGCTGGTTGTTCTTGGCGCAGTGTTGAGCAGTGTTCCAAAACACACACACTTGTAACTCTGAGCTATGCCTGTCTGTTGGTCACACTTGGCAGGCAGGCAGGCAGGCCGAAAACTAGAAAATGGCCATGTCTATTGAGATTGTGGATTTTTCAACCCCAAAAAACAAACTGAAATGTATACGGGAGTCAATGAGTTACATTTACTAATAACTGTGATTTTGAGCGAGCAACTAGAAAGTACATAGAACTAATAGACGCGTTTATTGAAAAATAAATATACAAAACATCATTCCATATTTTAATTGTTGTTGACTAAACGGCATTCTATACTCATTTTGCAGAGCTGAACAAAGGGTCAGCAGCCGTTGCAGCAGTACATTTGAAATCGAAAGCCCCACATGTCCGCCAAAGCCGAGGCGGACAATCTAGCCGCCAGCGCCACTGGCGGCGGCTCAGGAGGCGGTAATAGCAACTCCAATGGCACCGTAACACCAGCGCGACGCCTGCGCACACGCAACTCAACCGGTGGCAGTGGCAGCGAGTCGGCCAAAAAGAACACCAACAACAGTAGCCACAATAATAATAACAACAATACCAACAACAACAATAATAATAATAACGAATCAGCTGCAACGGGCAATGATGGTTCAGCAGCAACAACAGGAATAATGCCAACATCAGCTGGTGGCGGCGGTGGTGCAGCCACCGGTGGTGGTGCTGCTGCTGCAACAGGAGCGACTCCCAACTCCGTGGAACGCCCCATGCCCAGCGTGCCGATGAATCATGCCAGCAGCAGTGTTTCGGCCAGCAAGAAATATCATAATAGCTGTCCGCATCCAACGCCCACAGTGCACAAGAAGTCGCTGCACACGAAGCCGCATAGCAGCAATAAATTTGATCAGGGCAAGAACGAGGAATTCCATTTTGATACGCCGCCCGAGTGTCCAGTGTTCCGGCCGACAGCGGAGGAGTTTAAAAATCCATTGGCATACATTAGCAAAATACGCTCCATAGCTGAGAAATGTGGCATTGCCAAGATATTACCGCCGGAGAAATGGTCACCGCCATTTGCTGTCGATGTGGATAAGTTACGTTTTGTACCACGCGTCCAGCGTCTCAATGAATTGGAGGCCAAGACGCGTGTCAAATTGAATTTTTTGGATCAAATCGCCAAATTCTGGGAGCTGCAAGGCTCCTCCCTGAAAATCCCCATGGTGGAGCGCAAAGCTCTAGATCTATATACTCTGCACCGCATTGTGCAGGAGGAGGGCGGCATGGAGCAGACCACCAAGGAGCGCAAATGGGCCAAAGTGGCCAATCGTATGCAGTATCCATCCAGCAAAAGTGTTGGTGCCACACTCAAAGCCCACTACGAGCGAATACTACATCCCTTTGAGGTCTACACCTCTGGTAAGGTATTGGGACCTGGCGCGGCACCTACTGCCGTGAACGCAACGCCCGTCAAGCTCGAGGATGTTGGCACCGATTACAAGGCCCATGAAATACCCACACGTCAGCAAATCGCGCCGCCAAATGAAAGTAATACGCGTCGCTCCAAGCGCTTTGGCAATTCAAATGCCAGCTGCGGCCTAACCACGGCCAAACCAGGCGCTGCTGCAGTCACCATCAAAACAGAAACCAAGGAAGATTTTAAACGCGATCTTTTGAGCAGCTTCAATGCAGTCAATACTGGTGGTGGTGCCGCAGGCGTTGGTCAATCAGGCGGCTGCGGGGCAACAACACCTGCACCCAATACACGTGCCACCCAAAAGAAAGCCAGCACAGAGCCACAGCAACCGCTTATCGATCCGCTCATGAAGTACATCTGTCACATCTGCAATCGCGGCGACGTCGAGGAGTGCATGCTGCTCTGTGACGGTTGCGACGATAGCTATCATACCTTCTGCTTATTGCCACCATTGAGCAGCATACCAAAAGGTGAGTTCAAGTTCGGCATTTCATTTCATGTACTCTTCCAATTGAGCGTAATCTTCATGTGGTTATCATGGTCTTAAATAATAATTAAGGTGCAGGGAATCTGCTTATATAGTATTTGTGTTAATTCTAATATTTCTTCGTTGTTTTTTCTATCGACCAGGTGAATGGCTGTGCCCACGTTGCGTTGTGGAGGAGGTGAGCAAGCCGCAGGAAGCTTTTGGTTTTGAGCAGGCCGAGCGTGAGTACACATTGCAGCAGTTTGGTCAGATGGCCGATCAGTTTAAGCAGGAATACTTTCGCAAACCGGTGCACTTGGTGCCCACGGAGATGGTGGAGCGCGAATTCTGGCGTATTGTCTCCTCGATTGATGAGGATGTGACTGTGGAATATGGCGCTGATTTGCATACAATGGATCATGGCTCTGGTTTTCCCACAAAGAGCTCCCATTATTTGCTGCCCGGTGATCAGGAGTATGCCGAATCCAGTTGGAATTTAAATAATCTACCGCTGCTGGAGGACTCAATACTGGGACATATTAATGCTGATATTAGCGGCATGAATGCGCCCTGGATGTATGTGGGCATGTGCTTTGCTGCCTTCTGCTGGCACAACGAGGATCACTGGAGCTATTCGATTAACTATTTGCATTGGGGCGAGCCAAAGACTTGGTACGGTGTGCCCGGCTCCTGTGCCGAACAGTTCGAGGAGACTATGAAACGCGCCGCGCCCGAGCTATTCTCCTCTCAGCCCGATTTGCTGCATCAACTGGTCACGATTATGAATCCCAATATATTGATGAACAATGGTGTACCCGTCTATCGTACCGATCAGCATGCCGGCGAATTTGTCATTACCTTTCCGCGGGCCTATCATGCCGGCTTTAATCAGGGCTACAATTTCGCCGAGGCCGTCAACTTTGCGCCCGCAGATTGGCTTAAAATGGGACGCGAATGCGTCAATCATTATTCAATGCTGCGTCGCTTCTGTGTTTTCTCGCACGATGAGCTAGTCTGCAAGATGGCCTTGGAGCCGGCCAAGCTGACTTTTGGCATTGCCACCGCTTGCTATATAGACATGGCCGAGATGGTCGACACGGAGAAGAAGCTGCGCAAATCTCTGCTGGAATGGGGCGTCACACGCGCCGAACGTCGCGCCTTCGAACTGGTCAACGATGATGAGCGCCATTGCCAGGAGTGCAACACCACCTGCTTTCTATCGGCCGTTGCCTGCGAGTGCAACGATAAGCTGATTGTCTGCCTGCGCCACTACACCGTACTCTGCGGCTGTGCGCCAGAGAAGCATACGCTCATCTATCGCTATACGCTGGACGAGATGCCGCTGATGCTGCAGAAGTTAAAGGTAAAGGCACACAGCTTCGAGCGTTGGCTATCCCGCTGTCGCGACATTGTCGATGCACATACGCCCACATCGGTGACGCTGTCCGAGCTGCAGGAGCTCTGCAAGGAGGCCGAGACCAAAAAGTTTCCCTCATCCCTGCTCATCGATCGGCTCAATGCAGCGGCCATTGAGGCGGAGAAATGTGTCACGGTTATACAACAGCTGGGCATTAATAAGGTAAGAGATTGTTCCTTAATCGTACTTGCTTATATATTTAATATTCAATATTTTACTTGTGAAAATTGCATCTTTTTACAAAAATAATTTAGTTAGTAAGAATATAATATCGCAATATTTTCCTTCTTTTTGAATATCTTTTTTTTTAAATGATTTTTTTTATATTCAAAATTGGTTTTTTTTTAACTGTACGAAATTCCGTATGGACGCAATTCTACTCTACCCAGACATTTTGATATATAATTAGCACCTGCGTATATCCATTTTGTCAGCCGCTTAAAAGGACAAATCTTTGACCCTATAAATATATATATATATACTTATGGTATATAATAATTATATTTACATGGGAAATTCACAGGCATTCCTCAATGGAAATAAAAGCTGATTTCATCTTTTTTTTACTCAATATTTTTTTTTATACATATGTACATAATAATTTCATTCCTTTGAGAACTAATGGTTTTTTTTTATTGTAAAAAAACCAACTTATGCCTCACTAAGTCTCCTCTTTAGCTTTGCTTTATTATATTAATTAATTGATTTATCATATACATAAATATTATGTATAGTTGTAGATTAACGATTAAAAACTTAAATTTGAATTGTATATATTGAAGGTGCGCACCCGCTCCGATCACAACCAGGAAGCAGCACAGTATAAGCTGACCATGGAGGAGTTGGAGTTGTTTGTACAGGAAATCGATAATCTGTGCTGCATCATCGATGAGGGAGCCTCGGTGCGTGAGCTGCTTGTGCTGGGACGACAGTTTGTGGAACGCGCCGATTCGCAGCTGCAGCTATCGCTTGAGGCGCTCGAGGAGAACGATTTGGAGACGCTCATCAATGAGGGCAGCTCGTTGCGCATTGAGCTCCAGCAGCTGGATCATTTGCAGAAGCGTCTTAAACAATGCAAATGGTACAAACGCTCCCAGGGCTTGCGCGAGACCAGCTCGAAGCTGACCTACAAAGATGTGAAGAACCTGCTGCATACGGCAGCCGCTGATCTGGATCCGACCGATCCGTATGTGGATCGTGAGATGCGTAAACTGCAGCAAATTGGCGCCGCAATCGAGGCATGGGAATCACAGGCAGCTAAATATTTTCGACGACTCAATCAGCAGCATGAGCTGGCCGAGATTGAGCAGTTTCTTAAGTCCGCCAGCGAAATCAATGGGCAGGTGCCGTCGCATGGCGTCTTAAAGGATGCACTGCGCAAGGCACGGGAATGGCTGCGTGCCGTGGAGCAATTGCAGCAGAATAATCATGTCACCTACTGTCACACGCTGGAGGCGATGATAGACCGTGGCCTCAATATACCCATCCAGCTGGAGGAACTCGGTCGCATGCAGGGCCATTTGAGCAGTGCACATCAGTGGAAGGAGAATACGGCGCGTGCGTTCCTGAAGAAGGGCACATTCTATACGCTGCTGGAGGTGCTGATGCCACGTGCAGATGCCATCAATATTGACTCGGATCTCAAGCCGCGTTTCCAAGATGATTTCCTAAAGGACAAGAATCCCGCCGAAATTGTGGCCAGCTTCAAGCATGCCGAGGAGCAGGAATTGCGCGATATGCGCGATCTAAGGCGCCAGAATATGACCAAGAATCCCTTGCGCGACGTCTTCTGTCTATGCAAGTCCGAATTTCGTGGCCTCATGCACAATTGCCAGCTGTGCCGTGATTGGTTTCACGAGGATTGCGTGCCGCCCGTCCCGGCTGCCCAGCCACTGATGGCCCAACAAAATGGCAATAGTAATGGAGAAGCAATTAATGGTGGAGGTGCACCAATGCCGGCGCAAGAAAAGTGGCTGTGTCCGAGCTGTGTGCGCTCGAAGCGTCCACGTCTGGAGACCATCCTGCCGCTGCTCGTGCAGCTGCAACAGCTGCCCATTCGTCTACCTGAGGATGAGGCTTTGCGTTGTTTGGCGGAGCGTGCCATGAACTGGCAGGATCGTGCACGCAAAGCGCTCAGTAGTCCCGACGTCAGCGCCGCTCTAGATGCCATTTTGGCTCAACATCAGAAGCGTCGCACGGAGAGCACCAGCTGCGGCGCCGCCGTGCTGGGCAACATAAGCAGTCCGAGGAAGCCGCGACGTTCGCACAATCTGTCCAAGCAGGAAGCCAACAATGCGGGGCGTTCCGAGTCAGATAACGAAGATAATGGGGATGATGTGGATGACGATGACGACGATGATGAATGCCGGCTTCGCATTGTGGAGGACGGGTATAGCAATGACGAGGACGAGCAGCTGCCGCGACTGGCGACTAACAATGTGCAAAACACCAGCAACAACAACAGCAGCAGCAATAGCACTGATCTCTTAAAACTGCTCTCCGAAAGCGAAATTGAGAATCTGCTCGAGCTAATGATGGAGGGCGATTTGTTAGAGGTATCGCTGGATGAGACGCAAGAGCTGTGGCGCATACTCGAAACGATGCCGCCGACAACGCTGCAAGCCGAGGCAAAATCGCGTGTCGCTCAACATTTACAACAACACCGTCAGCAGCAGCAGCAAATCCAGGCGACAACAGGCACACTGGCAACAACCACGTCCAGCATACACAGCGGCGCTGAGGATTCCAATGATAGCCTGCTTGTGCAGAATAGTCCGAGTCCCGGCGCTGGTGGCGGCGCTGCGCAGACGGCGGTGCGCAATAAAAAACGTCGCTCCAATGATGCCAGCAGCGCCAATGTGGCTGTGCCGCGCAAGAAACAGAATACGCCCAAACAGACGCCGGGCAAAAAGTCGCAAGCGGTGCGCAAGAGTGACAGCAAGGCAAGCAGCTCGCCCGGTGTCGATGCGGATGCGGAGAACAAGCAGGCAAACGGTGGCAATACAACGGCGGCAACAACGCCAACGACACCGGGCGCAGCGACACCAACAGCTGGCGCCACGCCCATACCAGCATCCGGCCACAAGAAGCGCAAACGCACCACAACAACAACAACAGCAACAACAAACAATAATAATAATAACAACAACAACAACAACAATAACAACAGCAGCAACAACGGCAGCGGCAATGCCGGCAACACACCGACCACCGCAACGGGCAACAACAATCCAACAACAGGTGGCGCTGGTGGTGGCCAGAAAAAGCATGCGCAACGCACACAGCAAACGGCACAGGAGGACGACGAAGAGGAATGCCGTGCCGAGAATTGCCATAAGCCAACCGGACGTGAGGTGGACTGGGTGCAGTGCGATGGCGGCTGCAACGAATGGTTTCACATGTACTGTGTGGGCCTGAATCGTAGTCAAATTAAGGCCGACGATGATTACATTTGTATTCGCTGCTCGAAAACGGTCAGCGTCGGCGTCGCTGGCGGCAGCAGCAGTCTAACGGTGACCACAACGACAACCAGCAGCCTGACATTGAGCACAGGAACGCCAGGCAAGCAGCGAGCAGCGCAGTCGGCGCGGTAGAGTGGAGAAAATCGAGTTAGCTGATTGGATCGCAAGCAACCCAAGAAAAACAACAACAACATCAATTTGACAACGGTTGGCAGCACCTTCGATTAAAGCTTGTAATTTATCGATAAACTGCTATCGCAGTGTTTATACACATGTTTATCACACACACATAGACAAAACGAACACACACACACACACACAGAGAGAAAAGAGCAGCCAACACTCACGCAACGTTATGCGTTAAACGGTATTTACTAAGTTTTAGTAAAAAAAAAAGTCACTTAAACGTTTTTTGTAGTACATATTTACTAATTATTGCTATTATAACGCAAACGTATTTCAAAATGCAAATATGAGGAGAAAATTAACACACACACACACATACACACACGCAAACACAATTGAAAAGTAACTAATTATGTGAAAATTCAATTCAACTGTAAAATGCAAAATATCAACAAATTTTGTATGTGTAGGCGCGGTACACATTTTACGTTCGTTTAACGTTCTATTATATTCACTTTATGTAAATATATATATATTTAGGTATATATATATATTTATATATACATACATATAATTAATTACCATTACCTGCTACTATTAGTTTTTGTTAATTTAATTTACAGTTTGTGTTCGCTTTAAGTTTTGTGCGACGCGCGCGCGTTTTTTACGTTTCTTTTTTATCATTTCATTCAAAGAACAACTTTAAAACAAAAACAATTTACATATTTTTACTTCTGTACAGTTTTTCTGTTTACTTAAAGTGAAAAGCCAAGTAAAATTTAATTGTTAACTTATACATATTAATATATATATATTTATTTATATATATATATATATATATTATCTTCCAATTTATATGCGATAATTTTGGTCGCGTGGCGCGCTGTAATCAATTTTTCTCTTGTATGTTTTATTTGTTTTTCCTATTAAAGAACAATTGATTTAAATAAAAATAAAAAAAAAATGTAGCATAAATACACAAGATAAATCTAAAACAAAACAAAAAATAAGGAAGAAAAACCAACAAAAACAAAACACTTGATGATGAAACAAATACATCATATAATACATTTAATATAAATAAATTGCAGCCCTAATGCTAAGTTTACATTTAAATAAAAATGGAAATAAAAAATTGTATAATTTTTAATTTAAATCTAGTAAGCTGATTAGAGAACAACACACTTTGAGAAAAGAAAGAAAAAAACCGAAAAAAAATTGCAAAAAAAAATATATAACTTCTTAACGTACAACAACAAGCTTAGAATTATGCGGTAGAAAAAGAAAAAAACAAACACTTTGTAAAATCATTTTTTAAGCGTGTAAAAAAATCGAGCGGGATATCAACATCCAAAACAGCCCAAACAAAAATATAAAGAAAATAATTAAAGAAAGAAGAAAAATACCCTAACATATTAAGGCACAACCATTTTATTTAATTAAGCCAACACTGTACGATTTCTTTCAACGAACCGACTCCACAACAAATCAAACCCTACCGCCCCTCCACAAGACCCCCCAAATATGTAATTCTATTATACATATAAATAAATTATATATAAATAGTATTTAAAAAAGAAATTAGTCATTATGTGTTTTTCTTTAGCTTATTATGTAAGTTAAGCTCAATGTATGTATGCATGAATATGTCACTTACTTTTCACCTATATCTGTCAGCACTTGAGTTTGACCTACGCCTTGGCTAACACGTGCACCAGGCCAAATGACAAATTGCCAGTTAGTCATTGGTTTGGTAATATGCTTACCGTCTACCAGGTATGTGTGGTTGGCTTTAGGCTAGACTAATGGGAAGCACCTGGCGTTGCGATAACACCTTTTATATGGAAATAGATATCGTCGTTGCTTGTTTGTAAACATAAATTATTATTGTAGCTCAAAATGGCAAACTTTATGACAAATATTTCGTCAACAGTGTGCAGAAATATTTAACTGTTTATTAAATCAACAGCTAACCAAGCACATTTTGGTTGTGAAAAGTGTTTTACCTGGTTTGCCTGGAGTAGAACTAGTTTTTTTTTCATATTACTGCCTGCTGAATATGTAAAATTACGTTGCAAGCTACTTTAACTGCATTGTAAGCATTAACCATGAGCTTTCAGTGTTGGTCAAGCGTTTGGCTAAACACTGTAAAGACTATGTTAAAGCAGCTTCAGAGTAACACTTCATTCCAGGAATTAAAGTCTCTTCGAATCGTCGGACATATTATTTGTTTTAATATCACGTTATTTGAGTACTTCTGGCTTATTACATCATTTGAATTGATAACACAGTTTTGAACATCCGCCCGCTTTTCACTTGAATCACTTACTAAGTAGTTGATGAATGACTCATGAAAAACTCTGTTGACAAAAATTCGTAGCCGCGATTAAACCTATTTTAAGATTGTGTCCCCAATGCACCTAAACGTAATTTTTGCCGATTAGCCGTTATCTCAATTAGGCCAAAAAAAGCCAAATATGGTATTGCACTTATCGCTCGATTGTAAATAAACGTACCGCTTTTTAGATTGTCAGCTCTTCATAACATAGAAGGAGAATTGTGGATAATTTTATTGTGATTATCTCTTGGAGCTTAAATTTCTCACATTTAGATCCAAAATGTCGAGCTCCTACAGATTTCTAAAATTTAAATTAATTCTCTTGATAGAAATATAGCTTTATATTTTAAAGATTTCCTATGTTAGGACCTAAAATACATTTTAAATGTATTCAGAAATTAAAATAATACCGTAATGAAATTTAAGCACAAAAGCCATATGATATTATTTTCAGTAAATTCATATGTATTTCACATATGTAAAACTATGAACATGTATATGCAAAAGATTAATTGAAAATCATTTTTTACAGTGTATCTAACTGCTTTTAAGGAACTTTAAATTTATGCTCATGCCCTTAAGCAGCAAATAATCAGCCCAACACTTTGTTTTCTGTTTAACTTCATCAAATATTCATTCATACTCCAAATTGGTAAGTTGCATCACTTCATTAAGCTCACAAGTAAGAGGTTCTAGTCGAGAGCTCCCGACTAGGGGATACCCTGATCCCTCTTCTTCCGACAGGCGATAGGTATAGAATGAAAGATACTTGATATATATATACTATTCTAGAACCTACATGTCAAGTTTGGCGACTCTAGCTCTTATTATATACCAAAATTGCTCAAAAAACAGGATTCCGATATCGATTTTTATCGATTACTTGGAAACGGGGCAAGTTATCGAATATCGGTATATAAACTCGATCTGCGCGGGCACTAGAAGGACCTACAGCTAAAGTTTCAACTCTCTAGCTCTTATAGGTTCTGATATCCTTTTATACATACGGACGGACGGACGGACGGACAGACAGACGGACATGGCTAGATCGACTCGGCTATTGATGCTGATCAAGAGTATATACACTTTATGGATACGCTTCCTTCTGCCTGTTACGTACATTTGCACAAATACATTATACCCTTTTTTATCCATTTTTAATGGGTTCAGGGTATAAGAAGTCGGTTATAGCGGAAAGTTTCTATTTGATATTATGTAAAGCTTTAAAAAAAGACAAGGCCAATTAGGCGTTTCGTGTGGAAGCCTTTTAGAGGGCATGTTATGTGCTGTATCGTGCGCTTATCAATCGCACGCAGCATTTTATCAGCTTCAATTGAAGTCAATCAGGCAATGGCAATTGCGAGCTGCATGTTCCAAAACCATTTCACATGACACACGGAAAATATATAATTATTTTTATATATATCAAAAATAATCACCTGCTGGAAATTGAGCAACAAATGTTCAGCAAATTTCAGTTTTTTGTTGTGTTCTTTATTACATACGCATACGAGTATATGTGGACAATCGTTTCTATATTTTATATACATATATAAATTTTGTTTAGAGCTAACGCCGCGTGAAGTTGAGTTTACGTTGGTTTTAGTTTCAGTTTCACTTTTGCTTTTTAGTCACATACACTTTTTTTTGGTATTTGGATGTCAGTTACAAGAGGCTATCAAAAATAGTTGGCTGCATCTGGCGACAATATCTAAATATACAATATTTAGTTTGTTTAACACTCGCTCTCTTCAGTTATGTGTGTGTGTGTGTGTGTGTGTGTTGAGGTAACAATAATAGTTTAATAATAGCGCCTAAGCTTCACATGTTCTAATACTATAAATACGTTAAATCAAGCATTGCAAATTGTTTGCACTTAACCAAAACATTTCGTGTTGTTGATGTTGCAGTTGACAAGAAAATAATGATTTAACAAAAAAACAACAACAAAGTTCTAAGTTTCTAGTACCTAAACACTGAGATTACATAATGCCAGGAAACCGCTAGTAAAATCATTGCATCATCCGCGCCCGCGAACTGTATCGTCGCCTTAGGAGGCGAGGCCGCGCTGTCGCCGCTTGACACGCGCATAGGGACCCACGGCGGGATCCATCACAAAATCGTAGAGCACACGCGTCCAGCTGGTGTGCTGTGGCATCGTCTCATAGAACTCCTTGGCGATCCGTTTCACCTCCGGCAGCCGGGAGCCGGGCACGGCTGGAAAATCGTGATGCTCATTGTGGTAGCCCACATTGAAGGTGATCCAATTGAGCGGGCCATAATACGAATATGTCTCAAAGCCCTTGGCGAACATATAGTGCTCCGATATGAAATGCCCCGCCACCGGATGCAGACCCATCGCCAGTATGGAGCCAATCAACAGATAGGCCATCGCCTTCCAGCCAATGAAATAGACGACAGCCGCATTGAATGCCAGCTGTATGATCGTATTGATGATCTCCAGGCGTGTCGGTGGCTTCGGATTGATCACCAGCGGCCGAAAGATGTAGAAGAACGGCTGCAGGCACACCCACATAAACTTGCCAAATGTCGTGTCGAATAGTCGCGCCTCCAGCAGGGTAGGTATATCCGTATCAATCACTTCGTCGCCTTGGTAGCTGTGAGGATTAAGAAGAAAACAATTTTTAAATGGAGAAATAGGCCAATTAATCAGAACTTGATTTTTCGCATGCTCTCAATGGAATTCCCAACTATTTCGATTTGTTTACCGCATTTACCTTTGATAAAGTCCTATATAGTCTCTGTCTCTCCCACCTTGACATGAGGTTAAATTTGACAAGCGGAATTGTGGTCAACACTCATGAGCAATTGAATGTTTTTGCTATTCTTTGAGTATTCCTTATCGTATATTAAATTTAGAGTGGTTTCTGAGCATTTTTTGTTGGTCTAGACTGGGGCGATTTTTTTTTTTTAGTATGAATCAGATACTGTGCTTGTCATTTTACTCTACCTATAAACAATTGAAAATTGGAGCATTAATTATGATTTATGTGGGGAAACTAGAATGCATAGCAACAAATACCAAACGCTATCTTTATTTTATTTGTAAACAGTTTTATCAATTTGCCAAAGAAAAGCCGCTCTAAAATTCCAAAACAAAATTCTGTTTTTGGTTCATTCAATTTTAGGATTTTAATTCAAAGAGAATCAAACTTCCAACTATATCAATCATATATCTATCATCATATATCTATCATATGATATCTCTGAGATTTTCAAAGAGATTTTTGACTATTTGGTATTAAGTGAAACTATATGAATTGAAAACTTTTGCAATAAACTTCAAATACTATATTCCATTTAAAAAACTTGTTTGCCTTATCATTCGGGTATTGGCATAAACAAGGTATTCAAGCAACTAATAGATAAGATAAACGCGACCCACTAATCATTAGCACCTGGGTCCCAGACACGCGTGAGCCGAATGTGCAATTCTCTATGTCTCGGCATGTGACTCAAATTGTGGGTTATCTATCTATATTTAAGTGTGCGGCTTAAAAAGCCGGACAATTCAATGACCATAAAGATTAACGGCGTACACCTGGTCTGTTAATAAGTGGGTTCAAGAAATTCATATAAACTTCATTTATTTAGAAATGCGCTACATTCCTATATATCTTTCTTGCCAATTGCAAATCCAATTCAAATATCCGTTAAAATTCTGCTATTACATCAAAATGTTAATAACAGTGCAGTGATCTATGCCCAATGCGCAATATAAGAGTTAACATACTTATAAAGCCATCTGTCTGTAAGGTTAAATTGCTTTCGCTGTTAACATAACAGACAAATGTTGAGAGATTTTCCTTCATTTTACCTTCGAAGATAAGATTTGCTTGGACTCGAGATAGTGGATAAGATAGCCAAAGGAAGCTTATAAGAACACACTAACTTATACTCTGCGTCTCCCTGTTTCTCTTTCCTCTTTTTATAATTGAACAACAAATAAATCAATTGCTACACTCTCATTAAATCGGCATTCGAGGGGCCCGCCAAAGTGCCGGCAGCAAATGCACACAAAATGCTCGACTGATAGCCAAGAGTGAATGACTCAGATAGGGGTCGCAAACACGTAGTTGCTTTGCACAAAATAAATAAATAAATAAAATTATTATGACCAGCTACGTGACCAATTGAAACACTTCTTCAATAACGAACTTTTCTGATATAAATAAAATAGTTTAAACCCTATAAACTTTCAAATCTTATCGCAATCATAAACGCGCTATCGATGGTATACAGGCAAATCCCTAGATATTGAATATTATTTTTTGTTGACTCACAAATGCGAACGTTTCAAAAGGAAGTATTATTCAAATATACGTCGATGGCACATAAATTACAACCAAAAAGCTTTAAATGGCTTAATTATTTGAATTTTAAGGCAGACTTCTATTCACAAACAGCTTATCAGAAAGACAGAGAGAGAGAGAGAGAGAGAGAGAGAGAGATTTTATAAGGGAAATTTTTGACGAGCGGTGTTTGGGCAGTGTTGCAAAGCGGCCCTGCCGGTCTATTAACGAACAAGAAGGGTGCGGGCAGCGGGAAAAGCTCTCACATGGCTACGCCCAGAAAGCAAATACATGGACAAAGATTTAATTTGTTTTTATATGTATATAGCACATAGCGCATGTGTATTGTATATACATAACGTCATTAAATCAACCAAAAAAATCGTCAGAATCTGTTTTAGCTTACCGATGATGCTCCAGGTGATATTTCTTGAACGATATGCTCATGGGCAGTCCAATGGGTAAATTGCAAACGAAGCCCAAAATGCGATTGTGCATGGGACGGCTGTGTCCGAAGGCTAGATTGTGCGATATTTCGTGTACGGCCAGCATGAGCGAGTGATTCAGAATGCCGCCAAAGCAATAGGCCATTAACAGGAGCCACGGCCATGACAAGTCCTTGACAATGAACAGGGCCAGTATTTGGGTTAACACCATGGCGCCGGCTATCCATTTAAAGTTCGGATCATGGCCAAACAGTTTCTTGATTTGCGGATATTTCTCGAGTATGATTTTGCGACGCGAGGCATGCGGTTCTTCCGTGTAAACCCATTCGAAGTCGTTGCGCGACACTTTTTGGCCCATTTCTTTTTTTTTTTTAATATTTAATATTTTTGTTTTGTACTGTTTATGGATGTTGTTCTGTGTGGCTTGTTGTTGAGAGTTAAATGTGACGGCTTAAACACAGCGCTTTGGCATTATCGACCGATACGGCGGGCACAAAATAATAGGTGTTTTTTTTCTCACTTAAATGTAGCGACGACAACGCGACATCGGCAAAGTGAAAATTGTAAATGAAGCCGCAGCAGCGGCAAGCCACCCACATATCGAGTAGTGTTGGTAGATGCCAAAATGACATGGTTGCTTCTGAATATCGATAACAAAGCAGCTGAATGTTTTTTACAGTGCTGCCAACTCACGATATTCATTCGAAAATTCAATCTGAAATTGCGACTTTAAAATCGCAGGTGCAAATAGCAACTGCCTGCATTTAACGATTCTACCTGCCGAAATCGAAATGAATACACAGCAGGTGCCTTTTGTTAGCCATTTATACAATAATTTATAATTGTGTAGTAGTACAATATTTAAATTTTGCATTTCAAATAATTTGTTTAAATTTATGCTCAAATAACCGATGCGTTGCACCAAGCGGATGGTGCTGCTGTTGTTGCTGGCGTGCGGATGATATGCGGCACAGCGTGTTGCACTTAGTTTTGTTTGCGATTGCTGCATTATCTTGATCTTCTTAACTATGTGTGTGGGAGGGTGAGTGGGTGGCTGTGGCGTCACCTGGCTGACTGATCAGCTGCTGGGTGGTGTTATTTTTAGACTGTATGTGTTATATTTAAACATAAAATTGTGTACATATAATTTGTTTTGTTTTGTTTTTTTTTTTTTAATATATTTTATCAATAGTTCTAGAAAAGGCTAAAACAATGTTGTGGTTGTTGTTGCTGTTTGCTGCACACACACAAATCGAAAGATGTTGTCCTCGTGTTGTTGTTGTTGTTGTTGTTGTTGGTATATGGTATATGCCAGTTTTAGCGTTTAAAGTTTAGACTTGTTTGTTGCTTGTTGACGACGCAGTATTTAAATTGATGTTACAGCTGGTCTTCTTCTGTTGGTTTGGTTAATTAATTAGGAATAGGGCAAAGGGCCAGCCAGCGGTTGTTGTTCTTGTCTCTGTTGCTAATGATTATAGTTGTTGCTGTTGCTGTTGTTGTTCTTGTTTTTGCCTTGCCGATGCAGTTGTTGTTGTTGCTCCTGCTGTTGTATTGTTGTTTGAATAAATATTTAACGTGATTTTAGTTCTTAGGGGTTCTTATTTTGTTTTTAAATATATTTTGCGCACTTTTTTTCGCAACTCTTTTGCTGTAGCTCACTCACTTTTTCTTGTTTATTTTTCTTGTATTTATTATTATTTTTTTTTTTGCTCAACAAAATATTTAAATCAAATCGGCAATATTAGCAGGCATTTCCTCAATAGTAGTGTGATAGAATTGTTCAATATCCTTAAGGATTCGTCGATCATCATCTGTGATGAAGTTGATCGCAACACCCTTGCGACCGAAACGACCACCGCGACCGATTCTATAATAAGTATAAAAAAAGATTTTGTTATGAACAGATTTAGGAGAGAATTGTGGCTGGCCAATAGATAACTTACCTATGAATATAGTTCTCGCGATTCGAGGGCAGATCATAGTTGATGACCAACGACACCTGCTGCACATCAATACCGCGCGCCAATAAATCGGTTGTAATCAGAACACGGGAAGAGCCCGAACGGAATTGTTTCATGATAACCTCACGATCGCGTTGATCCATGTCACCATGCATGGCCGATACGGTAAAGTTGTGGTTAGACATCTCCTGGGTAAGCTGGTCGACCTGATGGTAAAGAAAATATAGCAAATCACATAAACTGGCAAGATTTTTGAGAAAATCTCCACTTGATTGACGTTGGTCTCAACGAAACAAAGGCAATCGGTTCAGTTAGAACGCAAGAAATAGATTTCAAAATATATGGATTATTGAATATATGCTATATATACTATATAGTCTGATAAGTCTTGGTGTTTTTGGATGCTTACCTTGCGACGGGTATTACAGAAGATAACCGACTGGGTAATGGACAGCGTATCGTACAGATCGCACAATGTGCCCAACTTCCAGTTCTCCTGCTTAACGTTCACGTAGAACTGCTTGATACCCTCAAGTGTCAACTCCTCCTTCTTAACCAGAATGCTAACTGGCTCACGCATAAAGCAACGGCTCACTTCGAGTACATCTGGTGGCATGGTGGCAGACAGCAAGATCACCTGGACATCCGGCGGCAGCATCTTGAATACATCCTGGATTTGATCTTTGAAGCCGCGCGACAACATCTCATCGGCCTCATCCAGTACGAACAGCTTGATGGACTGCGTGCGCAGCACCTTGCGATTGATCATGTCATAGACACGACCGGGTGTGCCAACTACCACGTGGCAACCGGATTCCAAAATGCGAGCATCCTCGCGCACATTGGTGCCGCCAATGCAGGCATGCGAATGCACCTTCATGTACTCACCAAGTGCCATAACCACACGCTGAATTTGGGTGGCCAATTCGCGAGTAGGTGCCAGGATCAAAGCCTGACATTCGCGCATGGACGTGTCGATTTGCTGAAGGATGGCAATCGAGAAGGTGGCAGTCTTGCCAGTACCTAATAAAATGACCAAAAACGTGTTAACGGATGATGAGAAATTTTTTAAGTTAATAACTAGTGAGGCAACTGTTTACTCTAGTTATATTCAGCATATCGGAATCGTTATATGAGCTGCACTCGCAATCTTAATAATCAAGGTCTTTTAGGCTACGTTTTACATTAAAAGTTAACCAACCTTTTTAGAAATTATGGTACAGCTTTTATTTAGTAATGGGGTATGCATATGTAGAGGAACTGTTTCGTCAATTTTTCCAATGTTTTGTTCAAAGTTGCGCCCAAAATGGATGTTTAAGAAATTTTCCATTTTGATGGTCAAATAATTGCATTTAACAAAATTTTCATATTTTTCATTTAATATGCCATTTTCGTATGGTTCATCCGCTACTGGGATAGTTTTGTACAGGAGTTTATGTTTTTGAATAATCGAATGATATATTGAATACAGTCAAAAGCAGGCTTAAGCTATATTAAACAAAAACCATTTACCAACAAATCAGCGCCTAGGCTAATATTTTCTTTATATGTACACACATATATATACACTTATACATCTTTCATTTTTTGCAATGTATGGGCAACGCTGTTCTATTTAAGCGTTTGCGAAGATCAGAAAAACGCGCTAAGGCGATCTCAAAAGTGGCGCGCAAGCGCTTCGTTGCTCACCAAAAGAGCGGACGAGTAAAAGAGAGGGAGAGAGAGAGAGAGAGAAAGTGTGTGTGTCCAGTAACAAAGATTGAGAGAGCAAAAGCTGCTGCAGCAGCAACAGACAGCTGAGTCACCGTTATCGTCATCATTCGCTGCTGCTTGCTTAGCAGCCCCCATAACAAAAAAATTTGCACTTTCTCGCTGAAGCGAAATTTGTTTTCTTTTTGCCGAGTTGTTTGTTTTACGTATAAATTACTCACCGGACTGGGCCTGGGCAATGACATCGCGACCCTTAACGCAAGGAATGATAGCGCGCTGTTGAATGGCCGATGGCTTCTCGAAACCGTAGCCATAGATGCCGCGCAACAGTTCCTCACGCAAGTTCATGTCATCGAAATTATCGTAGACCTCATGCCAGGTCGACTCGATGACGCCCTCAGGTTCCATTCCAGCGGGACCATCTTGAGCTATTTCACTTCGATCATCCCTATGGAACAAAAATACACAAAACGATGTCAGTAATGCAGTCAAATGAAAATTTTCTTTTCTACGTTTTTTTTTTCTCATTTTTTTTTTTTTTTGGTTATGGCGAATCTGCGCTTGGCAACCCAAGGCAGCAAAACGACGACAAAGTGGTCGGTGGCGACAACGACGTTTAGCGGCAGGCAGGCGGGCGGGCCCAGCAGCAACGACGAAAACGACACTTACATTATCAACAATAAAAAATTGACTAGTTAAATTTGTATACTGAATTTCGACGGCTTGAGCACCGTTCAGTTAAACAATTTCTGGATTAGTTGTGTGTCAAAAATTTGTAACGAAAATTTTTTTTTTTTTCACAGAGTGCACACAAACGTGTTTTGTTGTGCGTGCTGCTCTGCGGTATTTTCACGTATGCGAGCAAATGCCAGTGAGAGTTTTAACGACCGCTAGGCGGCCTTTTGAGCGTCTCGTCGTCACCGTCGCCCAACGAGTACATATGTTATGTGTGTGTGTGTGCGAAAGAGTGCACTAGATGTGTCAATGTCAATGGTTGCTTCGGTCGTGTGCATGTGTCTGAGCAGTAGGAAGCTATCAACTTTTAACTGCAGTGTTGCATGTGCGTAGTAGTTGGGAAATAGTAGTAGATTAAAGCAAAAAAAAAAAAGGTACTAAACGAAGCAGGCAAGAAAATGTTTAAGCCAACAGGCAAATTTAAGGCGTGTGTTTCAACCACTTGCAACATGAGCGTGTGCATGAGTGCCGAAGAGGGAGAGAAAAAGGTAGCGTTTAGCGGCACAACCACCATAGTATTTGAGAAATTCTAAGAATTCCCCGCACTAGGAAATCACCTATTTTTCATACAAATATGCGCATATGTATATATGTCATACATATGTATTTATATATAGTGATAGCAGTGTTGGCATTGAATCGCAATAGGTAGTCATTCATTGTCCATTTGAACGTCCAGTCAGCGACCATGAGTCAAAATGCGAGCATTTTTGTGCGCAAGAGAGCGAAATTTGTATAAATGCAATGATTTCATTGTTGCTGTGTTCAGATGAACCTCATTGCAAAGCAAGAAACTCATTTAACCTCGTATGGAATACATCGGATGACTTATTCTCTTTGTTATTTATTAACCCTGTGTCGTTCCAAAAAATTATATATATATATATATATATATATATATGTACACATATATTTGACCCAACGTCACACACACGCACACCATCAACAACCACTGAATTCTCTTTTATTCGTTCTCGCTCTCTATCTCTCTCTGCCAATGCCCGTCACTCGTGCCGCAACGTCCATCGACGTCGTGTAAAAATTCTTTTCGTTTTGTGTTTCACATTCTGGGTTAAATTTTCGAATCCAATTTTGAATACTATTGCTCACTTATACGGGCTTAAATTTACTAGCAAATTTTTGCAAACTCCCTTGTTAATTCGACTTTCACTTATTATGAATTAAATCGTTGAATAATACTAACATTTTCTGATTATTTTTTGGCACTTTTTATACACGTGCTGCTGATTGTTAAAACCAAGCAAAAGAGGCTCCATCTTGCAAAACTTTTAGTGATGTAAGGGAAGCAACCAAATTATCGATATATCAAAGTTCAACTATCGCAATTTTCAAATGGAATACTCCAATATTCAAAAGACTATAATTGAAATCAGTTTTCATTTTAAGTAAAATATATATTAAATGTTTTTTTATTGATATATAAGTTGGTTATTCAGATGTTTAAAGTTATCAATGAATACAATCGATACACAAATACAGTGGGAGCGGTGCTGCCATTCGGCTAAGATCTAATGACTCATTCACCACATTTTTATTATCGATTTACTATCGTATCATGTATCGATCCTACTCAATTGTTTTCAGTATTTTTTATTTTTTTGAGCATATATCTTTTCAAATTCTAAACAAAGATTAGGGCTACTACAAATGGGTTAAACCTAGCTAAAAATAATGGTTTATGATTTATGAACATGATCTGTAATTTCCCGACTATATATATGTATTCAATATGTACATTTGGTTATTTCGTATCATATTAATTTGTATATCGAATATATTTTAAGTTTAACAAATACATCGCGAAATATAGTCGCGTATTTTTATTATCGATTTAATTGAGCTATCGATGTTTCTAGTCCCTTAGTCAGTATAATTTCATCGCCGCATCACACAGCGTGTGAAAAGTGTGAGTTATCATTGGATTTTGGAGAACTTAGCGTATTAATTGCAAATTGTTGAATATGTGCAAATTTTTAATAATGTTTGTGTGGCCGGCAGCTTAAGTTTTATCAAAAAGGTTAGCAGCAAGACGTAGTTTCAATATAAAGCCAAGTTACAAATGAAAGGCCGACTCAATTACAGGCACATCTGCGTATATTCGCCGACGGCGTTGGCTGCACGCATATGTGTGTATGTACATCTATGGGTTGCGTGTGTGTATAAGTGTGCAAAAAAGAAGTGGAAAAAGTTAAGCAGCCGGTCGGTGTCTCGCTGCCTCATTGCAAGTAAAGTCAAAAATTGGTTGCTGGCCTTGCGCTTTTGTTTTTCGGCAAATAATTCCTTGTTGGGCACCATTTACGGCAGATAAAGATAAATATATAATGTGTTCGTACATATACATGTGTATGTACATATTAAAATTTTAAAATCTATTTTTAATTTATGATTGACCATCCTCGTCGTCGGTTACTCGACCGGCTAGAAAAGCACTCAAGCAGCGTCAGAAAAGGCCGATTCATAACACACACACTTACTCGTAGAATCAGGCAAGGAGACTTGAGATTGTTGAGTCATCGCCTGCTCTCACTCACTCATTTGCATTGCACGACCGGCGATTTATAACGGCCATATATGCCATTTCACTCGCACACATACTCCAGCGCACAGTTTTTGGCATTGCACTCGTCGAGTGAATCGGTGGGTGAGAGTGCTAGCGTCGGCGGCAGCTGTGACTCACGCGCGCTCTGAGTGCCTTTTTTTCTTCTCGATTTTCCATGCTTGGAGCCGCTAAACAACATTTTGCATTCAATCGTTTTTGTCATTCTGTGCAAGTCGGACGTGTTGGGGCTGCTGCTGCTGCTACGTACGGTTTACCCTCTGTTCATAGTGTGTGTGTGTGCTATCTTTTGCTGGCTGTGTTAGTGTGTGTGAGTTTTTTTTTAAGAAACAGCAAATTAAAAAAAAAAACAGTGTGCACTGCTTTTCGAGTTTCATCGTAAAAATCGAGATTTGACAGAGGCGGCGCACAAACAAAAAAAGAAAATTTCACATTTTTCAAAAGGCGTAAAGTTTTAAATCGTCAATTTATCGTTAATTTCTCTACATATCTCTTTTTTCTACCCTCTCTCATTGCAGTTTAAATAAGTTTCCTTAAACAAATTACGTAGAAAATCCACGATTTTCTCACTCTCGCTATACTAAATTTCTTGGTGGCGTGAAAAGTGTGTAACAACAGCAACAACTACTACAGTAGCAGCAATAACAAATTGAAACAAAGTAACGCGTGTGTGAAATACAACAAATACATATATACATATATTCAATAGTTATTAACAACCCCACAACAACAACAAATACAACAACAAACTACAATCATGAGCTGGCAAGATTATGTTGATAATCAACTTTTGGCCTCGCAGTGCATTACCAAGGCGTGCATTGCCGGACACGATGGCAACATTTGGGCGCAGTCCAATGGCTTTGAGGTGAGTACCGTTAATCCAGCCAACTAATCTTGCCGAATAAAATTCTCGTTGGCAATTCGACACTGAGACATTTTTAGCAAGTTCAAGGGTGTGACCACCAGCAACAATGCGTCCTCTGTCTGCTTACACACACACTCACATGCACATCAACACCCACGCATACAAAGAGAGCAATAGCAGCAGGCAAATTTATACCCCAGCAGGACTTCATCAAATAGTTCAAAGTAAACTAAACTAAAAATTTCATGAAATTTAAATGTCCACCTTGGAAGCTGTCATTCTGGAAATTTAGGTTCTGAATTTAGTTGATTTGTTTAGTTTCTAAATTTGACATGACATGCTTAAAGATCAAAATTGCAAAGTTGGAGATCAAAATTGAAGAAGAATTTTCTATACAAAGTTTTTAGATAAAATGATAATTCAGTGCGTTTTGCATGCTCTAATGTACTGCTGCGCCTTAATCGCCTTGCTACTCGTCCGCCATTTGTACTTTTATTTCGTTTGATAAAGCAACTCCCACCCTGTATGGGTGTGCACCCCCTGCATGCGCTCTCTCTTGTTCTCTTCTCTCTCTAGCTCTCTCGTCAACTATCGCCAATACAGCCGACTGCGCAGCTCTCTGCTCAGCTTCTTACCGTCTGTCGCGGTCACCCACATATACAAACGCAAAAACTTTAAAATTCTTAAGTTCCTGTAAAACTGTAGTGCAATCGTTGTCAAAGTAGCTGATAAGAATTCGTCTAGATGCTGCCGCAGAATTGAATTATTAATAGCACAATAGGGAACAGCTGGACAAATTGGCTGCTGTTGATTATCAAAAGCAAAGCCTTCGATTAGTTTGTGACTCATTAAAAAATTGCTCTCAGGTGGATTAGTCACTCAATTGAGTGATTAAACAAAGATGATTCGTCATTTAGAGTGCATTTGATGAAAGGTGTTTGCCTGCAATAGCTGAGCGCAGCCTGTGTCTGTGCCCGTGTGTGTGTGTGTGCGTTCGTGAGTAATTTCTCATAGCCGGGTTTGGCCGGCACAACACAAGCATGTGTGCACTTTCCAACACTGGCGTGATAGCACTGTGCTGCTTATCCCCTGCGCACTCTTTTTCATACAACACAAGCTGAGCTGGTTGACGAAAGATTGAAGTAGGAGAGAGAGAGAGAGAAAATGAGAGGGAAAATTGCCCTTTATGCGACTCACCGCTCGCCGCATATAATAAAATTACTAACCGGCCTTATTTGCTCTTATCAACACACACACACACCACAACATTAAGCACTTCACTCAATAGTTTGATGTGCATATGTGTGCGTTTATTATCTTTGTTTCCTCTGCCAACGAAACCCATTTTTTTTATCACAAAAATAATAATAAAACTACGCGCAAGTTTTGAGTCGATTGGAAGTGAAACGAAAGAAATGTATCTTGAAAAACGCAACGACCGCAGTGCCGCGTCATCAGCGTCTACATTTTATATTCGCGCCACGTTTTCGCATTTACTTTATATGTATGACAGTGTGTGTGTGTGTGTTTGTGAGTGTATACAACTTCCTGCTGACTCCGCCGTGCGCCTAACCACATACTTTATCCTTTGTTTGTGCGTCTGTTGCGCGCCCCATTCATGCTTGTTTTTTTTTTCTTCGGCAGGGGTGGGGCCCAGGGACACTCCCTTGTGCTTTGTTTTTAGTATATTTTTCGCGCAGTCTGCTTTGCCAACTGTCCAAGAAGCAGAATTATCGATATATAAAATCGATTTTAATAATTTATCTACCATCAAAAATTAGCATATGCCATTTACATTTTGTTTCTTCGCCATGTGCTGTTAACAAAAGTCCAAATTAATATATAAATTATATAACATAAAGTGAGTGAAAAATCTAAACGAAATGTGAAATGAACTTACAATTGTTGAAGAAGAAGAGTACTTTTCATTTTGTAAGCTCCAAGTGGGAAAAAGTGATACTGTTTTGCAGACATTTTTGATGCCAACATCATCATCAACGGTGACAACCTTCGTTTTTGGCCATTTGCTGTTATTTGCAATTCGCCGCGTACATCCACGAATCTCACTTTCATTTTGTGGTGGCCTCCGATCGAATGTTATGTATTTGACTCTTCTTATTATATTACTTTTTTTTTTTTTCTGGCTTATTGCCTTTGCATTTACACTACGTTCGTACGGCTGAGTTACCCACATTTCTACCTGAATCTGTTTGATTCGTTACATTTCCATGATTCATCGAAAAATGTATCGCCAAGTAAAGTTATTCGGGTTTGGATCAGCTGCTGTGTGGCATTGCCAGACGTTTTTCTTTGTATATGTGTGTGTTGTCAACTTTTGAGCCAAAAGTTCGTTCTTATCAATAACGTTTTTTTTGCGTTTCACACTTCGATTTCATAAAACACACGTAAATGGATTGTGCCATAAAACCCGTCTGCTTTATAAGTAAAATTGTTTTTTTTTTTTAAATAGTTGCACTTTTGGAAAACATAAATTTAAAAAGCCTGCGTTTGGCATTTGTAAGACAACAATTTTCAAATTTGGCTCGTTATTGTACATTTTTTGTGGTCATTGCCTTGTCTATTATTAGTGTGCATTTCTTTAATTAATTGAGTGGTTTTGATAAATTTATTAGACATTTTTGGCATACCTACAGCTTTGTTCGCAAAACCGGCTTTATGGACTGCGCTCTCTCTTTGCGCACTCACCCAGCTACTCACTCTGATACACTCAGGCTTTTACGCTCATTTTGGAAACTTCTAGAAGGTTTTTTTTTTCGATGTTCTTTTTTTGGCTGGTTTGTCTCTCATTCTCCCGGCAAGTGTCATTAACATATTTGCTGCTTGTACCGCAACGACTTGGCAAAAGACTTATTATTAATCATAGTTCTTAAAATCTATTAATTCCTTTGCCAATTTCCTGGCGCTTGGCAACAACGCACAAAAACTCAAAGAGCGAAATCCGCAAACTGTTGTGTCCTGCAAATGTTAATAACATTTTGCGTGGGGTAAGGCAACTCCGTTCTGCTAGTAAGTGTTGGCAAACTAGTTTTTGCTCTTTACAATTACAAAATCAAGGCAAATGGTCAGCCGTTCTTTGCTTGTTATTGTTGCTGCTGCTGCAGCGTGTCTCTCATTTTGTTAATGAGTTGGCAGACGACGTCGTCGTCATCTTCATTTCATGGGTGGTGAATGTGGGCAGTGGTGGGTTTTTATTTGCTTACCTCTCTCTCACTCCCCTGCACGTTTGAGTGGGTTGTTGCTGATTACAAAATGAATGTGTGTGTGTTTTGCAGCCACACACCTCACTGCCTGACACTAGGTTTCTTAGTAAGGATTATTATTAAAAGAAATTGTATGTGCACGCACGCAACGCAGGATGCATAAATTTTGTAAAATTTATGGCACGTGTGCGTGACTCAAGACGGTTATAGGGTATACAAATGTAATACATACATATGTAAAAACGTTTCCCATTCTAATTTTTCTGATTTTGTTTGGTATTATTTTTTTATTTGCAGGTTTCAAAGGAAGAGCTGGCCAAATTGATCAGCGGCTTTGATCAGCAAGACCTGCTTACCAGCAGCGGCGTGACATTAGCCGGCCAACGGTACATTTACCTCTCAGGCACAGATCGCGTGGTGCGCGCAAAACTGGGCAGAAACGGAGTGCACTGCATGAAGACGACACAAGGTAGGTGAAAACCAAAAAAGAAACGGAATGTAGAGTTGCCAACTGTTTTGACAGGGTATATATTAGTCGGTAATAGGGCACAATTCTTATCAAATGTGTGTGCTGTTAGCTTCTTAATTTCATTGATTTTTTTTTCCTTGCCAGTAAGAACAATGTAGGTGCAAAGCATTTAATCCCCAGATAAGTCTTGTGACTTGTGCCAGGAGCCCACAGCTATAACATTTTGATAAGCATTAAAAAGTGAGCAATTGCGGTATTTTTTCCTTGTTGCATGTGTATACAAATACATATATGTATATATGTTTTTTTCATCTGTCTGATAAGCAGAGTGCGAGCGATTGCTCATTACAAAACAAAGGAAAAAATAACCCAAGAGCAGCAGAGCCAAACATTAATGTATAAAATGCCAAATTTTGTTTTTGTTTTTGTGCAGTTTGCCACGTAACCAACGGCAAACGTAATAAGCCGTAAATGATAGGCAATCATTATATGTGCCTGCAGTTTGTTGCTCCATTTCCCCGGTCAACTGGCGGCCCCCCTCCTGATACACACACACCCTGACAAACACACACACACTTGCTCTCAAATAGCTGGCAAAATAAAACGCGGCAGCGTTTCGTTTTTCACTCAATTTTTTTTTTTTGCTATTTTCTTTACACCTTGCGCCTAAAATGTGTTTGTTGTTGCTATGAAAACTCTTGGAAGCAGCTGTCTGTCTAACAGTATGTGTTTGCCAGCCCGTCTATGTGTGTGTGTGTGCCATAAAACTAAATTTGTTTTTGCTGCTTGTTTGCCGACGCTTCGTCAGCGTCGTCGTCGACGTCGTCGTCTTCCATATTTGCCTAGTTTATATATATATTTGCGGCAACTGTTGCGCGGCGTCGCTGCTGTCCGCTGCAGCAGCCGCAAAGGTCAAGGTTATTGCCATAATCCATTTCAAGTGCAAATGTTGCACAGAATAAGCCGCAAAAGTAGCGGCAAGCGAGTAGCATATAAATGGAAATAGGCAAGAAATTGACATAAAATGGCAAACTGGTCTCTCTCTCTCTCGCTCTCTCGCTTGCTTTGACCTAGCTGACTTGTGTGTGCCGTGTGTGTGTGTGTTTGCGTTTGTATATGTGTGCATGTTGGCGCCTGGGATAAGTCTCTGGCCTCTTGCTTTGTCTTTATTTGGTATTAAATTTGAGCTCTCCGAGGCTGGCGCTTTGTTGGCACTTGAACAGCTGATCGCACACGACTTACAATCGATTAAATTACCAAGCAATTTATTTACCGCAAATTATCCGCCCCTCTACACTGTGTGTCCATCGCAGCCTAACATTGTCTGTCTGTCTCTGTGTCTGTGTGTGTGTATGTTTGTTTGTTTTTGTATGCAACACTTTGGTAATTAAAAGGCGCGTGTAACAGCGTTTAAACTGAAATACAACTTGATATGCTTGTTTTTAGTACGCTTCAAATGTTTCAAGGTATGCGGCGCGCACTGCTCGGTGTGCTCGGTGCAAATTTGGTGTAATTAAATATGAAATGAAATGTAATATTAGCATTGTACGCGCTATCAGACAAACAGACACATTAACAGCTTCTTATCGAATTTAGTTATCGATTGACACAGACACATTGCCTGTCTGTCTCTCTCACGTGTGGGTGTTGCCAGCCTGCTGCAGGGCGCTACAAGTGTGTGTATGTCAGTGCCTGTGTGTGTGTGTCGGTGTGTATGTACGCGTGCGTCTTTTTATCTCTATCCCGCTTCCTCGCTCGCTCTTGTCCGTAGACATGACACTTAACTTTTGGTTTATTGACCCCAGTTCAAAAAATTGTTGAAATTGTTGTTGGCTTGGATTTGATTTGCTTGGAGCGTCAGTCAATTGGGTTAACAACAAGAAGAACAACAACAATTTCATGCACAATTGATTAACGTAGTAAGCCCCCAAAGCAGCAGCATTGAAGAGTTTCGACCATTTGTCGCGATTCGCTTACATTTCAGTATTACAATTTTTGATGCCGACTGTTTGGCAGCGTGAAAGACTTGTCATTCAATATTATGTGGCTATCTGTGGCCGGTCTGTCCGGTTTTCACCTGGTCCAGAGTCTCTCTCTCTACCTCCCTCTCCCTCTCTTTTTCTTTCTCTCCATCGTTTTATTGAGCGTTTTATTCATAATTTACTTGTTGATGATGTTCTGTAAAATACAGTTAGTTCTTGTTTCTCCATTTGCTGCTGTGCTTTGCTTTCTCTAAACTATTCGTTTCTGTTGTATTGTCAACCGGATAATCGGCTGAAGATGTTTCTGTGTGTGTGTGTGTAATTATGTAGCCGTGTTAAAATAGCCAAAGAGATTTCTACAAATGATTAGATTCCATGTTGAGCGTAGAATAGTTGAGTGTTATGTGGCCAGTGTTAATAATACTTTCTGCTATCGATAAAATTTGTGTTGAAATAAATTATCGATTGTGAAGGGGGTCTTTTAATACTTCTTTATGACAATTTATTAAGTTTAAATATATTTTTTTTATATTTGTTCTCTTGCAGCCGTCATTGTTTCCATCTACGAGGATCCTGTGCAGCCCCAGCAGGCCGCTTCCGTGGTGGAGAAACTTGGAGATTATCTGATTACTTGCGGGTACTAGAAAATAAAGTATATAAAACAACAACAATACAACACCATCAACAACCAACACACCAACAACACAGCAACAAATTCGATAAGAAAGCGTAAATGAACTAAATAACTAAAAACAAAAAAAAGTAATTATTAATATTTAAATGAGAAATGCCAAGAAACATTTTGAGGTAATTGTGGTCAAACAAATCAGAAACTTGAGCAGAGAAACCAATGTCATAAAAAAGCTTAAAACCAACAACAACAAAGTAATTACCCAAATGACCTAAAACAAAATTATAAATTTCTGCATAATTATATTTAAACATTTTTGGTTCATACGATAAAAATAATAAAAAACAAAAACAAAAAACAAACAAAATCTTAAACTCAACATAAGAAAAATCGTATTGGAAAGCATTTTGTAAGCAACAAGAAAAAACTAACAACGCAAAGCAACGCAGGCAAATTTTTGAAAACTTTTTTGTACAGCAGTCTAGTACATATATATATATATATACACCGATCTATAAACACACACATACACACAGACTATTTGAGATTGAGTGAGAGAGGATATTGAGAAATAGGAACAGAATATGGAAAAGAGAAAGAGAGATAAGTCGAGAGTCAGTCAAGCAGCGAACACACAGGTAATTACCAACCAATATAAATGAATATAAATATATTGATATATATTTATATATGTAAACTATTTGGAGAACCATGAAGCTCTATTTTTATGTGGCAGGGAAGATACATACACCTACAACATCTACAGTGGTAGCATTTTTTATACGAAAGACAGAACTTTGAGAAATGTGTAATATTTAAAAAGTGAAAAACAAAAAGAGAATACATTCTTTTAGCCATATTTGAAATATATGTATATGCTCATCATTGGGGAGTTAGGTAAAACAGAAGATTCCAAGACACCAACAACACGCACACATATATATTCCGTTTTCCAAACCGTCTCATCTAGCCATACATATATAAATACATACATACATATAAACGTACATACATACATATACTTGTACACTTGCGCCATTTGCTCTCTGTTTGCGCTTTTCATGTTTGTAATTTTGCTATATTCATACAAAAAACTAAAAAAACAAAAAAAAAAATCTAACGCTAAAAACGTACATACATATTTATCGATAAACGGCAATTACAATCCGAACGCTGTGCAACACTGTCCGTCTCCTGCCAGTCCGCCTGCCTGGTTTACGTGCCAGCGCGTTTAGAGGAAAATTCATTGCTTAATCTGAATTAACAACATCAAGAATTCGGCAAAATCGAATTGCCATTAACACATACATTTACATACAAGACAACCCGTCAAATGCATGCAAATAATAAACAAAACAACAGAAAATAAATAAATAAAAATTTAAACTACTTACTACAAAGCATACATAAATAAATGGCTTTTTATGTTAGTTAAACAAAAGTCTTTTTTCCAACATTTTCCCCTATCATTTTTACGTAAAGAAAGCGTCGAAAAGCAAACAAAATTCATTAAAAAAAAACGAAAACAAAAACAATGCATTAATATAAATATAAAAAAGAAATGAAAAACATATATAATACGATACTTTAATACTATTGAAATAAAAAACGGAGCAAGGCAAAAATCCTGCTCATAAAAATGGTACACAAAAGGTGTTTTTTTTCCAGTGTTGTTAAAGCTGTCGATTGCAAATCGATAGGTTAATAAACTCGGTTATCGACCTAGCGGATATTTCGCTTGGGCTAGCTACAAATTTACATGAAATACTTTTAGCTTTATAATTCATAAATTCTTTGTCTTTTAATTAAACGGGGCCTTCATGGAAAATAAGTCAACGACATATTTTTTATCTACATTTTTATGGCTGACGCAATCGCACAATTATTTCATAAATAATGTGCAAAATTTTTAATTTTTTTCTCGCAGTTGCTGTTCTTTTCAGCAAATGTCATTTTCGACATATTTCGTTTTCTTTTTATTTTGCGGGCCGCCGAAACATTGACCCAAAAATACAAATTCTTTCGCAGCGTGAAAATCTTCGCACATCTTTGGATGATGAGTTCCAACACATGTGTTTGACACTTTCGCTTTTAAATTGAGTTTCTTTTTTTTTTTTGGTGAAAATCAGCATTGGCTTTTTATCGGTTGCACAATTAATCACAGCATATTATTATTATGATGATTATTGTTGTTGTTGATAAAAACTGACTGGGTCTGGTCTTTGCGCCGTACACTCTTCCCCCTCTAACAATTTATGGCTCGTCTATGTGTGGAATACCCTTGCAAAGAGTATTACAGTTTAGTCATAGAAGTAGTCATCGTTTGAAATCTATGAAAACTTATTCGACTTCTACATAATATAGGAATAGTATATATAAATATAGGTCTGGTCTATGCGACGTACTCTTTCCCTTGCAAAGAGTATTTTAATTTAGTCATAGAAAAAGACTTGCATCCGAGTCTTAATTAAATCTGTCCACACTTAGTGTTAATTTTGTTGAATATACTCTATTTCTCCTATTCCTCTCACTTAGGGTATCAAAACTTCGGCATGCTGTCGAGTGTGTTTTATTATTATTTTCCTAGCTCTAACGGCATCATATAAATTGTTTGGCTGCGGGGCAGCTAGAAATCAGCTCACATTAATTCATTTAATAAAATATGCAAATTTCTCAAAGGCATGTGTAATTTTTTACGACTTGTGATGCCTCAATAAAAACAATGCTGTTGCTGCCGGCTGGCCTTGCATTTTTGTTTAGAATTTGAATTGGCTAATTATAAACCAGTGTTGGGCAGTAAATGAAGAAAAGATTGCCTATCGATATATACATATCAGCGCCGATAACACTCGACTATCAGCACAATTAGCACTTTATTAATTTTGTTTACGTTTATACAATTTTACAAACATTTTACCGTACATCATTTGTACCTAAATCTGGGGTATATTCATTCAGAATCCGGTCTCGCCCTGTACTCGGCGTAATTGCTCGAACGTGTACCAAAATATAATCGACAAGGGACCAAGGCGTAACCAGCAGGGCAAAAAGCCCTTATACATGGCAAAGAAGCCCTCCTGTGTAATCAGCTTGTAGTAACAGTCTAAAGCGTTCCTGTAGCGCAGGCCCTGGCCCTCGTCACTGAACGGCTGGTTCATGATGCGCGACTTGACCACATCGACTGGCGTGCTCAGTATGGTGGCCGCCAAGCCGGCGGATACTGATGCCAGGAACTGTATAATGCGCCCATCTTCCATGTCCAGCAGGGTTATAAATTGGCGCTTGCTAAGATCATAGCAGGCCGTGTCGCCTGTGCGATAAATGTGATTAAAAATGAATGCACTCGTGTGTTTTTTTATTTGCTTACCCGCTGTCATGAGCGTGGCCCGAAGACAGCTTGGCACCACGCCCTTCCACAAGCTCTTCGCACCGCCCTGGGCATAGATGGACTGCAGCGCCTGGATCACATTCCTCACGCGCTCTGGATAGCCGAGTGAGCGCTGTCTGCCCTCCATTTGCATGCGTATCTTGACTATGTCCAGCGGATTGGCAATTGCCTGGCACAGGCAGCCGGCCAGGCAGCCGCCAAGAAATCCTTGCATTATGGGCAACGCTTCCTTGCCATTTTCATCCATATAGATCAGCTGCTGGCGTGCATAGTCGTAGATAACGACACGAGGAGCATTGAACAACAGGTTTCGGATAACCATTCCTATCAGGCCACTGTAAAGACCACTTGGTCCTTCCTCACGCATCATTCCAAACAGTGTGCCGAACATGCCACGTTTGGGTATGCCAGCGGCAGCCTTCTCCGCGGCCTCGCCCTGCAAATGTAAACGTGTCTTGGTCACGTCCAGCGGGTAGGTAAAGAAGTCGGCAAAGGTAGCCACAAGGAACGTATCGATGTACTCCATCAGGAAATGGCGGGCCTGCGTGGTCTGTTCGATGGGTACCGGGCATGGTCGTCTGTTTGGGTAATCTAGATATACATCTTTAATGTTCATAACTAGAATTTGTTTACAGAAATGAAAAATACACTCATAGAAATAAAAAAAAATTTTTATTCGACAGGATAAAATGTAGATATGACTATTAAATCTGGGGCACGTTTCAAATCGCCAACCGCTGCCCTTACAAGAAACTATATTCACTGAAATTTAATATTTAAAAGCCTGTCTGTCCTTCCCATACACGTAATTGTTCGACGGACAACCAAAACAGCACCGACCAGGGTCCCAATCTCAGCCAGCAGGGTATTAGGCCCTTGTACAGATTGAGAAAACCCTCCTCTCTCAACAGTTTGGCGACACAATCCACCGAGTTCTTGTAGTATAGACCTTTGCCGTTCTCATCGATCGGCTGATTCATCATTCGAGACTTGATCACATCCGCCGGATTGCTGAGCACACTGGCCACCAGTCCGGCGACCATTGAGGAGGCGAAACGCAGTGGTATGCCCTCTTCCAAGCCAAAATATTTCTTTAACTTGCGCTTGCATAGATCATAGGCACCCACATCGCCGGCGGTCATCAGGCAGGCGCGTGTACAGCTCGGTCCGACACCTCGCCACATGCCGACCACGCCCGATCTTCTATAGATGGCAGCCAGATCGCTTACGAAGTTTGAGGTGCGCGGTTCCATGCCCATAAGGCGGCGCCTGCCCTCCATTTGCATGCGCACCTTGACAATGTCAAAGGGATTGGCCAGCGCCTGGGCAATGCAGCCGGCTGCGCTGCCGCACAGAAAAGCATGATGTATCCGGATTGACTGGGCATGCTGGGCATCTTCGTAAATGAAACGGCGCCGGAATACATCGTACAGCATAACGCGCAATGAATTGAATATGAAATTACGAACGACCATGGCCGAGAAGCCGGCATAAAGGTTTTTCGGCCCCTCCTCAACCCAAATGCCATAAAGAGTCCGGAACATATTGCGCGGCTTGCTGCCCGTCTTTTTCGCCTCCTCGCCATGCATCTGCATGCGGGTCTTGCTCACGTCCAGCGAATACATGCATGCCTCCGCAAAGTTGGCGCCAATGAATGTATTGACATACAGCTGGAACAGGTTTCTCACCGAGATTTGCTCCTGTACGTTCTCCACATTGCGTATTGCCGCCTTATCGTACAGTGGCTTTAAGTGCCAATAGTTGTTCTCATCCCTATCCATAACTTAAAATTTGCGTTTTTGTTGTCGGTTATTTTACTATCTATCTACTGAACAATACAAAATTTATATAACAACATTTTTCGATTTGATTGTGTTTGTGCTTGTAACACAAATATCAGAAACAGCTTGATTGGGCCCTAATAACCCGCATCGCCATGAAGACTACGGATCTGCTCAAAGGTTAGCCAAAATATTAACGTCCAGGGTCCCACGCGCAGCCAATACGGCAGAAAGCCCTTGTACATGGCCAGAAAGCCCTCCTGCTGCACCAGCTTCGTGAAACAGTCCATGGTGCCACTGTAGTGCAGGCCACGGCCCGTATTATCAACTGGCTGGTTCATGATACGCGACTTGACCACATCTGCGGGCGTGCTAAGCACTGCTCCCGCAAATCCTGCTATCATTGCACCCAGAAACTGTATCCATAGATTATCGGGCATGTCCAAAATGTTCATCAGTTGGCGCTTACTTAGATCATAAAAACTAACGTCGCCTGAGAAAGCAAAAAAAAAGGGAGGGGGGGGGGTGGTGTTGGTAGATAAAGCATCACAAAAATGTTCTAAACTTTCTGATAGTCGATTTCGGGGAATTATTGGCAAAATGTGTAAAACTTATTTTCAGTTTGATTTTGCTAGGAACATTATATACTTAACGCATTTTTTTGAATGAACGATATATATAATTATTTTATACAACAGCTAAGAATTATAGAGGTCCAGATTAATTTCTTAATCATCATTAACAAATCTCTATTTTATATATATATTTTTTTTATAAATTTTTTTTTTAATAAATATATATATATATATATATAAAATAATATATAAATATATATATAAAAATTGCTGTTTTATGCAAATATTTTATGGAGTTTAAGATATTTTTTATTTTATTTAAGATATCTCAATCAAAATATTTTAGTCAAAAATATATATGTATATAGGTAGATATAGATACTGTACATATAGTTGGTAATACCCTAATATAAATAATATAACAATAATTTAAATAATATAATAACATAACTAATATAAATTTTCATATAACCTCAACTTGCATTCTAAAATATTTCTGAAAACAACATAAATATGATCTGGACTTGCTCGATCCATGGACCGTAAATAGTTAAGGGCTTATGCTACGTTCCAAATCCTCAAATAAGCTCTACTCTGGGGATCACTTACCTAAGGTGACGAGGCCGGCACGCCAAGCATTTGGCACCGTGCCCTTCCACAGGGCCACAATCCCGCCCCCTTTATAGGTGGATGTGAGTGCCTGGTATACATTGTGTATTCTCGGTGGTTCACCCATTAAACGCCGTTTGCTCTCCATTTGCATTTGCACCTTGATCAGGTCGGTGGGCGAGGTTAAAAGAGTGCCGCCAGCGCCGGCGACAATGCCACAGATGGCACCACGCAAAAATGTCAGTTTCGGTTTGCCATCTTTGTCAATGATCAGAGCCTCGCGCAGCGCATCATAAATATACATTTTGAGGCCCGTATAGATCGAGTGGCGCAGCGCCATGGCCGAAAAGCCGCCATAGAGCTTATGCAGGCCCTCCTCCTTGATGATGCCCAGGGCAGTGCCAAACATGCCCCTATATTTGATATTGGAATACGTTTTGCTGGCGATCTCGCCCTGAATCTGCATGCGAGTCTTCAGCACGTCCAAGGGATAGCAGAATATTTCGGCGCAGCACGCCGACAGCACAGAGCTCGCATAGAGTTCCACAAAGGGTGTCTTCGTATTCGTGGACAGATAATACAATCCGGGACGCAGCACCTCCGCTTGCTCCACAAGCTCCGCTGGCTTTGCCGTTGTCTCTGTCTCATTGGGTATGTCCATTGAAAATTTTGAAAATATATATAGGTATATAAATCGTTAAAAATAATATGTGTACCCTAAATTTTGGTTAGCTTGGAAATTATTCCCGAACTGTGCGAATTTAACAAAATAACATTTTTTTTTATTTTGTTTGTAATATGTGCGAATGTCATTTAGATTGACAAGTTTTAGTTAAAAATATGCTTTATTTTAATCTTAGAATGCCCTTTGCCCAACATCAAATCATTCTAATTAACTGATTGAATTGTCTAAAATCCATATTGAATTATAAACAAACGCATCATCATACATCAATACAATATATGCATAATTATCTATATAATTTGTGGACTGCACAAACTGTCTGGTAATTTGAGAGTTTGTTGAACTGCAACACGCGCTTAAAAGTTGCCAAGTTCGGCTAAAATACAAATTAATGAACGTAAATATGAAGTCCTAGGAGTAATTTTTAGGCTATGCCAACTTTTAAATGCTCTGCAATTGAATTTGAACATGATAATATATTCTAATTATTAAAAAACATATTTTAGTTACACTTTTTTATGTATTTATATTCTTAAGATTTTAAGCAGAATTTTATATATTTGTTTTGATTTTAATTTCAATAAATATGTTTTATATATTAATTAATGTAGGTAATAGTTACTAATATTGAATTATTAAGTTATTTAGTTGACATTTATGGCTAGTAATATTTAATTATGTTAGCTACAATATTATTTATTTATTCCTTACAAAAATATTTGTATATTTATTCCCTACCTTATCATGTGAAGTCAATTCATATTGAACGCTCTGGTACAGGTTGGGGCAATATGGATGGTTATAAAGTTTTTTATTCAGTGCTACGAATTTCAAGTGAAAGACACTCCGATTACCAGTGCAGTACCAAAGGCTAAGCCATAAACGGAGCAAGTGAACCAAGAAGTGCTGCACGGATTGCGCAAGATTACACAGAATTCTGTGGGTGAGTCGTGGGAGTTTCATGTTCCCATCCAGAGGGGATCTAGTCTTGTACTTCTCTCTCTGACAATTGCCCCATTTCCAGCATATAAAAGCACCGCAGCCAGCTGCAACGGAAGTTAGTAAACGGAAGCAATGGTCAATTATTCACAGCATTTGAGGCTGCTTCTCGGCCTGGGCCAGGATGAGCAGCGAGAACAGCAACTAGAGGAATCCTAGAGGAGCCCTATTTGAGGCGCAAGGGCACCGTTTTTTCCCGTAGCAACAATGAGGAAGAAACTAGCATGACGTCATATCTGGCTCAAGCGCCAACTGCTGAGTCCCATAAGGCACAAGCACGTCCCCGGAAGTCTGCTTGGGGTTCTTCCCATAGGCATTTAAATAATTTCTAATGATATTAATAAATATTTCTATATTTAAATTGCAACTAACTTTAACAAACCTACTTTTGTTTTTCCCATTTGCTTAATTCTATTGCCAAAAAATTCCCATTTTGATTAAAGGCACTTGACACTGATAGAATTATTAACTGTGCCCCAGCTAGTTGGTTCATATCTATAAAAGGCCCAACAATTAAAAAGTCTGGTAAAACTTCTTTAGTTGGTATTGCCCGACCAAAAGATACCCTGTACGCCGAGCTGCTGTTACAATCATTTCAAGTTTCTTCCATTTATACAGAAGACTATTAAAACTATTATACGCTTTTAATGGGATTTTTAAAATTTCCCTTAAGCGCTGGTTTGTATTCACGTTCTTAATAGATAAATGTATTATATGTATTTACTTTGGAGCTATATAAAATATATGTTCATATGTAGCCTGCGTTCGCGCTAATGGCGGCGATGCTTTTGATCCCGTTACTTTGGATGCGCATCAAGAGGAGAGCGAGAGCGAGAGTGAATGGTGTGAGCGCAGATTTGAGCCTAGACGAATTAGCGTAGGCGCGAGCTTAATGAGATAAATTAGTTTGTGCGCGTCTGCCCTGTTGATCGGCCGTAGCCTGTCGCGTGTGTTGTTGTGTGTGTGTGTGTTTTTATTTTAATAAAGTAAAATTATCTACATTCCTCTCGTAAGACGAAAATCGCGCGTGCTGTGTGTGTTAAACTTCAATTTGTCAATTAACCACCTTTTCTCCAGCTGTGATGGTATGTACCTTCGCATATTTAACCATCTTTAAAATATAAAAACATACATACAAACATACATGGTTAACATTTTTTGCCACTGAGCTTTTTCACGCATATCAAAATGGCGCGATTTACATGCACTTGATTTTATTTGCTTGCAAATATTGAAGAATGGAGAGATGAAGGGAGAGCGTAAAAGAGACAGTTATCTGAAGCGATTCTCGAACAAGTAAAAGTGTTCTAGTGAAGAGTGCCCGACTGGTAGATAGCCTGTAACCATCTCTTCTCTGGCTCTAGGTTGATTCGACTGTTGATACTGGTCAAGAAAAGCTTTAATTCTGCTTGTTACATACAATTTGTACAAAACGTTTATACACTTTATAAGCCAGTCACAATGGGTATAAATGGTAGAAAAAACATGGGCGATAAGGTAGATATGGCAAATTAAAGAGAACGAAGAAGTTGATGACGATGACATTGCACGCTAGAGCTACCGCGCCCAAAACTGCGTGTTGTGAGGGGGAAAGGTGGTAGGGCGGCTGTGGGGTGGTTGTATAAACTGCTTATTGAAAATAATGATGATTAGGATGTGTTCGTGTGTGCATGTGTTTGTGTGTCGTGTGCTAGTGTGTGCCAACACATGTTGTGCTGCCGTGCAACGACAACGCAGGCTACCCCCAAAAGCCGGCACGACCTCAATATGGGTGCGGTTGCCAGCCAGCTAGGGGAGTTGGCCATATAGCCAGCCACTTTGTCTATGCCGCCACCGACTCACTCGCCAAATAAGTAAATGAGTGAGTAAGTGGCGCTGTCAGTCAGCCTGAAACAACAACAACCTAGCCGAGCACGCGCCCATACATCTTACACCTATAAATTATGCGAAACTGCCTCTTCCTGCTGCCTTCCTCTCTCTCTCGTTCTTTCTGTCTCTCTTCCCCCATCCCAGTCGATTTGAAGTGTGTTTAGCACTTTTGTTAAATGAAAGCGACGTTTGTTGGTTGCGCAGGGGGGGGGGGGGCGACAGGCCCAGCCAAGGGGGAACTGGGTAATTTAAAATTCCCTACACACGCACGAATTATATGCCTCAGTAATTGCTGGCAGAGGTTTTACTTACTTCGGCTGCTGTGTCAGGTCAGCTTTTGTTATACTGTTATATTGTTATACACTGCCACGAAATCCAATACGCTTTGACCAACTGACCAATTTATCAAACAACTTTAACTAATGCTCAACAGTATTACATATACATATACATCTACAGGTATACATATATACATGGTATATTGCCATATACATTAAAAGGTTGTGTTGACTGGACGGTAATTTGAGAGTTTGTTGAACTGCAGCACGCGAAATTGAAGTCCGCTAAAAAGTTGCTCCGATCAGCTGAAAATAAAAATTATATGTTCAGAGTTTAATGAAAGAGCGAAAATACGTTGTAGGGATTTATAGATTATGCCAACGTCTGAATGTTCTTCAATCGAAATTAAATTATATTAAGTAAATTATTAAAAATATTATAAAAGTACTGCGTTTATTGCAGGCATAGAATTTGAAAAGATTTTGAAATTTTAAGATTTTAAACCGAACTTTTTTTTACCCAAATTGGTTTTCTTGATATATAAAGGTGTTTTTTATGGTAACGTTTGGGGTTTCTTTATTATTGTGCTGAAGAGCATAATATTAATATTTGATCATCATTTAATTATGTTCATAAGGAACTTTTCGGGAATTATATACTTCACGGATCTATTATTATACTATTAAATTGGATCATCCAAAAATATTTTTTTTTTAAATAAAGTTCGAGTTGACACTCGAAATGGGTATGCCCCACCTTATGAAGTGTAGTCAATTCATATTGAACCCTCTGGTACAGGTTGGGGCAATATGGATGGTTATAAAGGTTTTTATTCAGTGCTACGAATTTCAAGTGAAAGACACTCCGATTACCAGTGCAGTACCAAAGGCTAAGCCATAAACGGAGCAAGTGAACCAAGAAGTGCTGCACGGATTGCGCAAGATTACACAGAATTCTGTGGGTGAGTCGTGGGAGTTTCATGTTCCCATCCAGAGGGGATCTAGTCTTGTACTTCTCTCTCTGACGATTGCCCCATTTCCAGCATATAAAAGCACCGCAGCCAGCAGCAACGGAAGTTAGTAAACGGAAGCAATGGTCAATTATTCACAGCATTTGAGGCTGCTGCTGCTGCTGTGCCCGCTGGCACTCGGCCTGGCCCAGGAGGAGCAGCATGAGCAGCAGCTGCAGGCGCTGCATCGCAACAAGCGCACGTTGACCACAATTTGTGTGGAGATCAAACCGAGTGGACCCCAGGAAGAGCCATATTTTATGTGCAAGGGCACTGATTTCTCACGTGGCGGCGGACAAGCTCAGCCGGCAGCAGAAGAGCAGCAGCAACCCATCCAAAATTATCCACAACCAGAGGCACAGCCGATGCCCATAAATGCTCAGTATGCTCAGACGCCGTTTCCATCGTTTCCCAGCTTTGGCGCTGGGTTTTTTCCGATCATGTCCAACTATGAAGAAGCAGCGCCCAAGGCCACGCCAACGTCGTCATATCAGAATCAGTCGCCAGCCGGTGAATCCCACGCCGCCGCACACTATGGATCCGCTCCTGCTGCCTTTGCACCTGGGCCTGCTCCGCAATCATATGGCGTGCCAGCAGTTTCTTACTCAGCTGCAGGCGGCACAGCAGCAGCTGCACGCGGAACTGCAGCAGGCTCAGGCCCAGCGACCACGTCCAATTCATATGCTGCTGCAGCGCCTACGAAATCGCCGCCAGCTGCACAAGCAGCGCCTCAACCTAAATCGCAGCCTGCGAGCAGCCAAGCGAGCAATGGCAATCCCTATGATTCGTTAGTGGGCAGTCAACGTTATCGTACCGCCATGGATCAGGATGTGATGAACGTACCCGATGTGGGCTTTCGGCAAGAGGAGTTCAATTTGCAGTACAGACTACCCGAGCCCATGGTGGGTGCTGCTCCGCCCATGATGTGGATGCCATTGGCGCAGACACAGCTGCAGCATCCGACAGCAGCAGCTCAGCTGCCACCGTATTACGATGATCCGGTGATGCGCACCTTCTATGCCAGCCTGGAGCCCAATGAGCCACAAGTGGCTCAGGCGGCCCCCATGCAGCAGGCAGCTCCCATGGAGCCGCTAGTAGCTCAAGTAGCGCCACCGTCCCGACCAGCTTCTGGCTATATGCCAATGTATGGACAAACAGCACCAGCTGCTGCAGCAGCACCGGAACCAACTTTCCCACCTCCGCCGCAAAGTCAGCCCGCAGTGCAGCCCGCTTACGATGCCAATCCGAAGTCCAGTTCGGCTCAGGGCTACGCTCAAGGCTCACCTGTGGATGGCAATGCCTGCAACTCTTGTACGCGTCCCTGCTCGACGCCTTTGGAGTCCACTTCAAACTTCAATACACCCGCCCATTGTCCAAGCTTTCAACCCGTAATTATAGCAATGCCCTGCTATGGACAGCAACAGCCCACGCATTACTTGGGTGTGCCTGGCTCAGGGGCATCGTCGCCGCCAGCGCTGGCTCGTGAGTCCATGGTGGGCAGTTCATTTGGAGGACCATTTAGCTTGGCAGCACAAATGGGTTCACCCTTTGGCAATCATTTTGGCATGGCATCGCCTCAGGTGGGATCGGCCTTTGGCATGGGACCGCAGGCTGGCTCCGCTTATGGCATGTCAGCTCCTCAGCTTGGCTCAAACTTTGGCATGGCTCCACAAGTGGGTGCTCCGTTTGGCTTGGCACCGGTACTGAATCCCTTCGGACCCTTCGGCAATCTCAATCCATTTAATCCATTTAATAGAGTACTGGGCGCTGCCGCACCAACGACCCAACATCCCAGGATGCGTCTGTTTGGTGCACCCGAGCAGAGCACAACAGCCACATTTCAGGCAGCTCCACAATATCAACAAGCGCCGCCTAAGACTTTTACCCTGAACTTCTCCAGCAGCACATTGGCACCAGTTTCCAAAGTCAGCTCGGAACCAGCTGCGGCAGTCGTTGGCACCGCCCGTGATCCGGAAGAAGGCCAAAAGGAAGACGACGACGATGACCAAGATGATGACGAGGATGGATCACACGAAGTCACTGATGCGCCGCACTCGGCTGGTACAACTGAAGACGTTGCTTCTACTCTAGATGCCGAAGTCTCCAAATCTCTGGAGTCCAAGGAACTGACGGTCGAGCAACTACTCAAAAAGGGGGAGGATAAACTGAAAACCGAAAACAAGCGCAAACGACACAATTCACGCAACAGCAACAATAATTCCCAAAAGCGCAAATATCTGCAGCGCTTGTAGATCTTAACTAAATAAGTTTTTGCTCTATGAAAGAACTAACTATCAATAAAACCAATTAGTTGTTTACTACAAAAAGAAAACTGTGCATTTTCGGAACTCGAATGGGCAAAATAACCGCTCGGTCCTGTTCTTATTTCATATATTGATCAATTTCAGAAACTTTTTTAAATATTTGCTTTCAATTGGACGATTGTGTTTTTGCTGCTCTGTGAAACCTTAATCTTTATGATATTGAAATGTGCCTATTGATTTTCTTTGATTTTACGTTCTGATGTTAGTTAGGTTATGTCATCAGTGTTATCTATATAGTAGTTGGATGGAACATTAGAGATGCGGAGGGTATTCCAATATCTTTATCCGACAGTTAAAGAGACATTTGATATTTATGTTTTATATGACTTGATATAATATGTAAATGCTTCGCCTAAAATGCCTCTAGAATATCAAGCTAACTTTGTTTTCAAACAATTGTTGAGCTATATAGATTTAAAGCGACCCTCAACTATGCCTTAATGGCAAATAAGAAAATATATTTTAAATTTGCTGCAGTCTGTTGGTTTATAGTGTTTAATACAGAGATTTATCCAATTAGCAGGGCATTTAATTTATTCAGTCTGTACGAATCATATAGTTTTTTCTTACCTTGTACTCCTTCAAATTGTGTAAATAGGGTATATTGGCTTCGTGCATGTGTATGCAACAGACAGCGGAAAGCGTTTCCATGAGATTTATGCATATTTTATGGGCATGAAAAGTAGAGGGGATTTTTTCTATTGAAAAACTTTTACTCCGAGTTTGAAGTTCCTAGACCAGATAGTCGTCTCTTATATTAGACTGTCTCTATTCTATCAGAGAATATCCTAGCTGGGGACATCTTTTATATTAGACTGTCTCCCTGTCAGAGATTATTCGAGCTTGTGGCTTCAAATTAGTAGTCAAATCCGTCCCATTGCGCTGAATTAATGAAAAACAATGTTCAGTCGGGGTTCTCTTTTCAGTAGCCACCTCTTGTATTCTTCAATCAGCTACAGGGTATTTTCTAGTTGGGCAATTGCTCGTTTCTTTGCGCTCAATTGGACTCTGCCAACCTCATGGCATATTTGACGCCCAGTTTATTAGCGATGAATAAGCCAATGGCTACTTAAGGAAGTATTTTATATAAATACTTGTGTACATATTTATTATGCAGTTTCTTTATGTATTTCATTTTACACATTTTCTCTGATGTACTTCCGTTGGGCCTTGCGCATTTATATTTTGTTTCCCACTGGCGCACACGTCTTTATGGCAGCTACGCTTCACGGATCAAACAGGAACCTATTTACTCGATACGTACAGCTCGCTTTGGCTCAGCTCTTCGCTGCAATCTGCTGATTGTTCATGTTGGGCACGTAACACAATTTAAATAAATAAAAACAAAACTGAAGATAAATAACATAAAGCAATTTAGGCTTAGAGTCAATGTACTCGGCCAATTGTCCAAGCTCTCTGATTGAGTAAGCGCTGACCAGAATGGGCACAGCTGTTGCGATTGGATTTCTATTAACCGGGTTAGAACTCTCGCTTGTGAAATCCAAGACAAAGCCAAAGCTACTTCATATGTCGCTCAACAAAATAATTAAAGAATTGCCGTCCAAGGTAGAAACTGTTATGCCCTTTGATCGGTATAAGATTTATTCAATTTCCTTTTTTTGACGATTTCTTTTATAGTATTTATTAATTAATATTAATGGGCTTCATAATGATAATAATCATTATCTTATTAATATAATTAATATATATTTTTTTATTGGCTATTCTTTAAAAAAAAGTGGCTAAAATTAAAACTTTTAAATAATTTTTGGAATTTATTTTTGTGCAAATTTTAAGTATTTAAAAATCTCAAAAACTGAATATTTTGACTATCAAAAGGTTCCGGGATCATAATTCTAATTATATTATATATGTATTTTAAATCTAGTTGAGCCCTAAAATCAGATTAGGGACCATAAATGGATTGGCTTAGTTAGAAAGCCTGATTTTTGGGGATGTTCTGGAAGCATGCCTACCTTTCCATCTTCCGAACAACTTATGTTGCTTTGAATTATGACAAATGTGCTAGTAGGTTAAAATTATCCTGGACTACTTTTATTGACCCTGAGCAAAGCATATTCAGACCTCAGTTGGCCTACTTCCGTGCGTGTCGAACATTGTGGCCAAATGACAGTGCATTTAACTGGCAGGGTATTTAAGTGCAAGGCTTGCACTTTTTTAGGCAACTTTGGACAGTGATTGCTCGATGCAATTGGAGCTCGTCGAATAGTTGCAATTGAGTATTCGCGACGCGAGGTTAAAGTTACAAACGTCAACGCAAAATGCACAATTCCTGGAGCTGCTTGGTGGCGGCATTACTTTGCGGCTGCATCGTTTGGCAGGCTGGATGCACGCAGGCGCTGCAGCATGATGGCGTGGTGGGCATGTCCAATAGCATTGCATCACCTGGACAGCCATCGTATTATCTTATGGCCGATGCCGGTTCGACGGTGGGTCCCAATGATGAGCTCAAGCGCACAAATCGTTCGCTCATGAAGTGGTGGGAGGATTTGTTTGGGCCAAACAATTGCTGCAACAACAACAACAATTTGCTCAACAACAATAACAACAATTTGCTTAACAACAACAACAATTTGCTTAACAACTACAACAATTGGCCTTACAACAATAACCTGGCGCCAGCTTTTCCACCCATCAACAACAATAACTGCAATGGATTGCAACTGCAGACTTTGGATCCCTTCAAGCAAATGAAACTGTTCAAGAAGCTGCCCGATCTGTGGGGCAATAACTGTGCAGGCCCGTGCGCTGGCCAGTGCGGTGGTGGTGTTCAGCAGCTGCCGCAGCCGGGCAACGACTATGCGGCACCACCAAATCCAGGCTATGGCGATGACGGCTATGCACCACCGGAGCCACAACCAGCCGTGCCAGCGGCTCCAGTCGACTACAATCCGGCACCGGCGCCGCCTAGCAGCGGCTATGAGACACCTGATCCCAGCTACGACGGTCCCGGCGATGGTGATGCCGGCTATGTGGCACCAGCTGCACCACCACCGCCAGCTGAAGACTATGAGGCGCCAGCGCCTGCACCGCCTGCCGAAAGCTATGAAACACCAGACCCGCCCGCACCCACCTATGATACTGTTCCGGCATCCGCGCCCGAGAGCTACAGCAAAGTGGAGGAATATGCGCAGCCGGCCAAAAGCTATGGTGGTGCACAGCCACCGCAAATTGTCTATCAGCCCATCATTTATCTGTCAGCTGCGCCCGCCGTAAGGGATGAGCTGGAGACCAAGCTGAAGCAGCAGGAACAAAGCTATGAGACCCAGACTGAGGCACCAGCACCGCCACCAACGCCAGCACCGCCGACTTATGAGCCACCAGCTCCGGCACCAGCACCAATTGAACTGCCTACATATGCCGCGCCCCCAGCGACAGCCCCAGCTGCACCTTGTAATGCGCCCGCTTGTGCGGGTTATTTGCCCCTTTTGGGCGTGCCCTTCTACAGCTTTCCCACGGCTCAAGCACCAGCCCCGGCACCAGTCTATGCAGCACCACCGGCTCCGCAACCAGCGCCGGTCTATGCGGCACCACCAGCCCAGGCACCCCAGCCAGCGCCGTTCTATGCAGCACCACAGGCACCGCAACCAGCGCCGGTCTATGCAGCACCACCAGCCGCACCACCAGCGCCAACATATGCCTCATCCTCTTGCCAGACACCCATTAGATTGTCTTTAATCGATCAACCCTATCGCGTGGCCCCCGAACTCTTCCAGGAGTATAACTATCGCTTGGCCTTGGCCGAACTGAATAGATTATAGTAGATGGAAATCCAATGACCTTTAAGACTAAACTGTAAATAAAATCTATCTAATTTGGGCTGTCAGCTTTTTAATTGCTAAGGGATAACTACTCTATCTAATGGAATATCTAAAGATATTCAAGATAAAAGAAACTTCATATCGAAACTACATGTTCTAAATGAACTTTGTGTTAGCTTTATCTTAACATGGTTTAATTATAATGCTGTAAGTCATGTGAGAAGCTAAAAGCTTGGGTAAAGAATCTGGATAGTACATTCGAATAGGGGTATGATATTATTTAGATTTTGCTTTTAAATTAGAAGCATATCAAAACTAGAAATTGATGGGTTTGGCTTGCATTTTTTTAAAGACAATGTGCAACGCTTAAAATGATCCATATCCACTTCATTTAGGTAAATATTACGATTAGGAATATATTCTTGATTATTATCAACCGCCGAGTCAATATTGTCATGCCCGACGGTCTATTTTTTCGCAATCTTAAAGCCTTAATGAACTTTTGTATAGGTCTGTCTATTTGTTGTAGACAGTACATATGCCGGAACCGGCTGTTTCGGACTATTATAGCATATATATCGCATAGGAATGATCGGTCGTAAATTAAGTTGCGTGAAACAGTTCCGGCAATAATCAGACTTCCAGTTTCTCTACGTATGTGCAAAACTTTATCAACATTAGAGAATTTATATTATATAGCTGCCATAAGAATAATCGACCGAACATTAAGTTATTGTATTAAAGACTTTTTTATTTTTTAAGATATCTTAACTTAATTTTGCGTTCTTTCATGCTCCTTAGCAACATCGGACTACTATATCATGTAGCTCTGTATAAGGAATCGGTTCAAGATTAGTTGCATTAGATTTTGCAGATATATTGCCCAAACCAGCTGTTATGAGCTTTCCAAATCTCTTTATAATTCGTTGGCCAGGGTATTTAATCTTCGGCTTGCCGTAGATACCCGTTCCTTCTTGCTACAACTCTATAAACATGTTTGCTCAATATAATCTTTGGTTTTATCTGGCAAAAGCAACTTTATAATCGTAAGGCAAGCCGTTTATCCTTTCCTTCGTTGAATATATAAATGTGTAATCCTTACCCTATTCGATTGGGCATATTGATTCTACTCAGAGTCTCGCCCATTTGTACAGTTGTGTGCTATGATTTCCGTTGTTCAAACAGTAGCTGCTTATCGGCAGGGGTAAATACATTTTGTCTGAGCTGTCAAGGTCCCGGATCCCCATCAACATCATCGGCTCGCTTTTATCGCATATGTGTGCAATGCCGCGGCAGAACACTCTGCCTCTTCCTGTTATTATATCTTTCCATTTATACATATTCACATCTATATATATAGATTTATATGTATGCACACGATGACGTCGGCAAGAATTCGAGATACATATAATCGGCTCAGTCAGTCAGTTGGTCGTTCGTTGGCTGGTCTCCGTTTTCATTTCGTTTTCAAATTCAAATTCCATAACAAATTGCACAAGATAAACAAAGTCTGCCTACTCTATGCGGGCCTATCGGGGCTATGAAATGCGATAACACTTACCCCTCACCCCGCCGGGTATACCAGTACCCGGGCCGTTGACCATGACCGTGACCAAGTGAAAGTTGCCTGCAGTTGGCAACCGGAGCCGGAGGGAGGCCTGCACTCAGCTGGTCATCATCATCAGCTCTTTGTTCAACATTGTCTCACTTTGCATGTGGCACGCACTTCTTCTTAGACTCCGCCTCCTCGTACTCTAAGACTGGGTCTGGGGCTCTTGGTCGGGGCGTTGATCGCCTGTTGATGGCCCATGCCTCATATACGTCTGTGCAGAGCGTGACGTAGTTTACATAATCTAATCGCCTGTTGAGTGAGCGGAAAATATGGTTAGCAAATTAGTGGTTGCTCTGAAGTGAAGATCTGCTGATCTTTCAGTTGAATCGTTGCGTAACAAACACATGAACACGCTTCAGACGGAGCTATCTGAAACGATAAGTGTCTCTGTCAAAGATCAAGTGAGATTTGCTGAGGGCGGAACTGTGGTTTTCCTCTTCACTTTGATTGCAACGTGCGATGTCAGCACTGATCAAACGATATCAAGAGTATCGATTCAATTGTGTTTTATTAAAAGAGTAGAAGAGTTATAAACAGGCAGAAGAATGCCTCCTTCTTCGTCCCCACAAAATGCTCATGTATATATTCTTGGTCAGCATTAATAGAAAAGACGATTTATTCATGTCTCCCCATCAGGCTGATCTTCTGTCTGTCCGTGTGCATAAACGCGACGAACTTAGGAACTGTACGAGCTAGAGAATTGACATTTCTTAACATAAGTCCTTGGCAGAGAACAAGTTTATTTGAAATAATCAATAGCTCGCCCAGTCTCCACGATACCAAAAAAAATCGATTTTCATATGAGGTTTTTTTTTCAGCATATCTACAAGTTAATAATATCCACAGACATCAAATTTAGGATGAAAATTTGAGTATTAATAATAATAAAGCTTGTTTCCGTAGGTAACGCCTTGGGCTTTGGTATTTACATGCTTTTTTGTGTGGTATTTAATCCCTCAAATTTTCATAAAGATCGAACAATTAACACTGAAGTTAATCAAGAATGCATTGCCCAGACATAGTGTAGGACCAAAAGTGTTCAGGGTATTTCCTAGTTGTGCACTCCCGACCGTGGCACACTTCGGGTTTATTCCCTTTTATCAAAGGTAGTAGATATTGACTTATCTTATTGTAAGTTCTCATTGTCAATTGTGATTGACGTTCGCGGGGAAATCAATCTAAATAGCGTCAGCTATTAAGATTGTCTACACTACAAATTATTCATATCAGCAAATTTGCTGCCTGAAAAGTCAGTTACACCATTATTCATACTAAACAATAAGCTCTCCAAAAGTCTATTTACAATAACAGTTATTGCTAATTGACAATCAATCAATCATTCGTCCATAATCGAAAGTTGTCCAGATGAAAGAATTCATTGCACTGACTGTTGTCTAAATATGTATTTATATACTTATGCGTAAAATTAATTGAACTCTTTAATAACAGTATTATAATAATAATTATATTAATTGCTCGCAAAGCTTAAATAAACAACCGATCATAGCTGAATTCAACTTGATTGATATGTTCCCAAATTTCTGACTACTTACTTTACTTGAATTTAAAATCTTGGTATTCAATTTGTTAAGATTATCAATTTAAAATTGCTATTTTTTATAATAATATTCAATTTATATTCTAGTAATAATATTTTTTATATAATAATCTATATCTATATTATTTTTAACAATTATTTACAGTAAGGTATCTTTTATTAGGCTTCGTAAAGTAGCTATTTAAGCTTTGTTGGTTTGAACGAAATCAAGATTTTTTCCATATTTTATTATGAAGAAAGCATTAACAGACGTTTCATATATTATTCATATTTGTATGTATGCAGGGCCCAATATAAATATTAGACATATTTATAAATATGAACCAATGCCAAATGACTTTCGTGGTTAGTGATTTATATGTGGAGAAAATAATATCAAGAAATATTTACTATAATCTTGATAATTTAGGACAGAAATAAACTTACATGTAAACGGACAGAAATTCATGTTAAATTTATGTATTTAATATAAATTATTGTATTATTTTATAGATATACAGAAATAGATAAAAAAAAATAAAAAGAGATTCTTTATGAAAAAAAATGTTCTCGTGATCTATAAGATTATTAATTTAAATCGACTATCAAATAGTAATTGATATTAATTAGATTGCAATTAGTTGGCTCAGAGACAGGATCGTACGATACACATAGACATCGCACTGGCTAAGTTTCATATTAAGTTATTAAGCGATCCACACATTCACTCAAGACAAGAACAGTTCAAAGAGCAACAATTGAAAGTCAGCCCAAACAAGCGTCAGACGCTTCCCAGCGATACTTACGATCACAGAAGATCGCACATGATCGCCTTTGGAGAAGACCAAAAAAAAAAAAAACTACCCCACACAGATTTTCTGAGAAGCCGCCGTCTCTTGAGCGTAATTGAGTGAGTGAAGCATAAGAACGATCCTAAAAATTGAACAGCATATAAACAACGACTGTGGCACAACATGTGTGCTGCTCCCTCCAAAATGTAAGGGGCTGATCGATGATGCCGCCGCCGCCGCCGCCGCCGCTGCTGCTGCTGGGCACTTGCAATCCAACCGCATGCGGGGCCTCAAAAATAGCGCCAATGTCGCCGCCAACGCTGATGCCAAATGAAGCGATCTGTATGCCCTAATGCAGGCTATTTGCGCTTCATCATAATGTTTGCCAATAACTAGTTGTCAGATTTGTAGTCTAGATCAGTAAAGATCAGTTAAACTAATTGAAATAATGCAGTGCTCAAAGGATGCGCTGTCTAAGTGATCCCCTCATTTAGAGGTAGCGGCTGGTGAAGTTGCTGGTTCGAATCCCAGGCTAGTGTATAAATGTGATGGTGTATTAGCCGTAGGCCATAGTAGTTAGTGTCTTTAAAATAAGTTAAACATAATAAAATCAATTTTTAATAGTAATAATAGTTATTATAATCATAATACGTAATTATATGATTTGTAATAATATTGATAGTAAATATAATAATAATGATAATAAAAGGTAATAATATTAATAGTAATATTAATAATAATAACAATAATAATGATAATGATAGTAATAATAATAATAATAATAATAATAATAATATTATTAATAATAATATTAATACTAATGATAATAATTATACTAGTAATAAACATGATAATAATAAAACGAATAATGATACTAATTTTAGTACTAATAATAATAATAATGTTAATAATAATACGAATGATAATAATAATTGTAATAATAATAATAATACTAATAATAATAACGAAGCTGAAAATAACAACACTAAAAATAATAATAGTAATAATATTTATAGCATGCTAATAATAGTAATAATAACATTAATAATAAGTTTAAAATAGTAATAGTAATGACAATAATAATTATAGTTAATCTGCTTCAAAGAGTATTCGATTTT